CGAGGTGGGCGGATCACCTGAGGTCAGGAGTTTGAGACCAGCCTGGCCAACATGGTGAAACCCCATCTCTACTAAAAATACAAAAATTAGCTTGGCATGGTGGTGGGCGCCTGTAGTCCCAGCTACTTGGGAGGCTGAGGCAGGAGAATCATTTGCACCCAGAAGGCGGAGGTTCCAGTGAGCTGAGATCACACCACTGCACTCCAGCCTGGGTGATAGAGCGAGAATCTGTCTCAAGAAAAAAAAATTGAGTTCTTGCAATTCATGAAGCTTATTTCCTCTCCAGCCTTCTTTAATCTGGCTAACGCCTACTCATCCCCTCTCAAGTATGTGGGGCCGGCATCATTATTTGTATGGTAGTGGTGTGCTTCCCAGATGGCAAATTGAAATGTCATTGTCAGGTGATTTATCCTAAATAGCTGTACTTTGTCTTTATTTCCTAGCTCAAATTTTTTTAGGATTTTTACTTTCTCACAGTAAAAAACTGTCAAGAGTCCTGAAATAAAGTCAATAAGAGTGGAGCAACAAATAAGACGTTAATTTCCTGCTAGCAGGAGGATTAATCTGAAAGTGAGATTGTCCTGTCCTCTGTGATTTGGCAGAGGTTTTATCTGTTGCAGGCATTTAGACTGGTCACAAGAAAGAAAAGGAACAAGGAAATGGGAATGTAATACATGAGGCAATGCAACTATTCCATTATCAGTTTCAGAAGCAGATGTCCTATTGATAAGCCAGGGCAGAAAAGTCTATAGTGCACTTTAGAGTCAGCAAGGAAAATAAGAAACTTAAATCCAGGAAATTACATTCATTGTTTTGAGTTTAACAGGAGAATGTGGTCTTGTAATTCTTGCTGTAGGGGGTGTGAAAAAGACATTCACCACTTATGTAACCATAATGCTAAGCACCATGATGTGTCATCTGGGTTACAGCATTTATTTCTAGCACTGGCACACAGCAAAGCTGAAACAAAGCTCTCCCCCAGGATTTTTTTGGGAGCTCTAAGGAACGAGGACCTCTCTTTTCACTGACACCAGTTTGCTGTGAGCTTATGTAATTTCTGCAAAGTTGTCAGGAAAGCATACTTGAGAATGAAGCTAATACAGATAAAAGAAGACCTGGACATTGTAGAGTGTTCTGCTGACATCATCTGACAGCTTCAGGTTTCAGGATAAACTGAGGTCAGCTGCTCCCCTACAGCTCCTGGTTATGGTAGCAATGGTAGCGATACTGTTTTTTTTTTTTTTTTTTTTAATATTCCTTATATGAGTTTGAGGTGGATTTCAGTCATTTTTCTAACTAAAGAGACCTGACTAACATTTTATTTGGATTATCAAACACACTTTCTTTTCCTAAGTTGAATGTCTTCCTATAGTTATCTGAAAAAATATTTTCTTGCTAGTCTCAGACCCCCTTTGAACTAAAACTTGTGATTCTTTCCAGTGATCTATAATTCTTTACCAGTTCAATGCTAGGCTTCTCATTGACTATTATTTGTAAAACTTTTAACATCTAAAAATATTTATTAATTCATTTAAATATTTATTAATAAAATGCTTCAGATATAGACATAAGTTAATATAACTTTCCAAATTATAACATATTTTTCTTTTTCTTTTTTACAATATTTTTAAGTTTTTAGTTTTGAGGGTACACGTAAAGGTTTGTTACATAGGTAAACATGTGTCTTGGGGGTTTGTTATACATATTATTTCATCACCCAAGTATTAAACCCGCTACCCAATAGTTATCTTTTCTACTTCTCTCCCTCCTCCCACTCTTCCTCAAAAAACTTTAATTCTTTACTCTTTCCTGAAAGGACTGTAAGTTCAAAGTCATTTAAATAATAATGGATTATTATTTAATCAGATCATTATTGTTTCTTAGTAGACAACCAAATTAAATGAACCAAATTCCAAAGCTCATAGATAGAATGCTTTAAAAGAAAACTATTGATAGAAGGAAAAACAAATATTATATGATATCACAGAATAAGATTTAATCAATCACACTACAAATTGAGGCTACTGGTATTCATAAATCAGAAGTGAAAAATATCCTTCAAACTGATAAAGAATAATGCTCAAGCAAGTTATTTTTTTTCTGATGAATGCAAACTATTTTTATTTTTTTCATAGAAACTGATTATATATAGTTTTAGAAAAGAAAATAAGGCTGGGCTTGGTGGCTCATGCCTGTAATCCCAGTACTCTGGGAGGCTGGGTGGTCACCTGAGGTCAGATGTTCAAGATCAGCCTGACCAACATGGTGAAACCCTGTCTTTACTAAAAATACAAAAAAATTAGCTGAGGGTGGTGGTAGGCACCTGTAACCCCAGCTACTTGGGAGGCTGAGGCAGGAGAATTGCTTGAACCCAGAACATGGAGGGTACAGTGAGCCAAGATTGCACCATTGCACTCCAGCCTGGGTGACGGAGCAAGACTCTGTCTCAAAAAAAAAAAAAAAATATATATATATATATATATATATGTGTATATAAATTTCAGGCATTAATCATACATCAAATTACTTATGTACCAAAAATAAATACATATGATTTCTTTCTTTTCTTGTTTTTTAAGGCCACCAGCTGGGATCAGACACCAGGATCAGCAGAGCTTGAAGCTGCCACAGCCTAGGCCCCTGGCCGTGGGCTATGATTTCATATGGACTGATATTTGCACGAATTCCTATGTTCCTGATTGAGGCCAACATAACACATAGAGTGGAACAGACTACTCAGAAGCAGAGACCCATTTTGTGAGAATTAAGCACATAAATATGGTTTCTTTGTATGTCAGAATTTGAATTTTAAAGACAAAGTAGTTTATCCAACTAAAAGAAGTCCTACCACTTGTCTGCCAATCAGAAGATGAAGGGAAACATAGGTCAGATCTACTGATAAATAACTAGCTTTTTTTTTTTTTTTCCAGAGATGAGTCTCACTCTGTCACCCAGGTTGGAGTGCAGTGATCTTGGCTCACTGCAACCTCCACATCCTGGGTTCAAGCAATTCTCCTGCCTCAGCCTCCCCACTAGCTGGGATTACAGGTGCCTACCACCATGCCCAGCTAATTTTTATGTTTTTAGTAAAGATGGGGTTTCATCACGTTAGCCATGCTGGTTTTGAACTCCTGACCTCAAGTGATCTGTCCACCTCAGCCTCCCAAAGTGCTGAGATTACAGGTGTGAATCACCACACCTGGCCTCATTTAAGTCATAAAATCCCCTTGAGCAAACTGACAGGCAGCTCGCTAAAATTTCGTAGAAGATGAACTGTCAGAAAGACAGGTTTGACAAACTTAGAGCACATTTTGTCGTACTTAGCTTCAAAGAAGGAGGGCAGGAAAGGGAAAACTCACTTATGACCACCTCTTCCCATTCTGAAAGGCACAGGTACCCATCTAACCTCATAGTTCAGCAAATAAGAGCTGCACATAACATATGCTCAAAAGCAGTGTGGTAGCAGCTGCAGTAGCTTACTTAGGACTGTAGTCCTAGCGCTTTGGGAAGCCAAGCAAAGGAGAGAGGATCGCTTGAGGCCAGGAGTTCGAGACCAGCCTGGGCAACACAGTGAGACCTTATCTCAACAAAAAATTAAAAAAAATTAGCCTGGCATGGGTGGTGTCGTGGGCTTTTGGTCTCAGCTACTCATGAGGCTGAGGCAGGAGGGATCGCTTGAGCCCAAGTCGAGGCTACAGTGAGCTGTGACTGTGCCATTGCACACCACCCAGGGTTACACAGCAAGATCCTTCCTGTTTAAAAAAAAAAAAAAGCGTGGGAACCAGGAATCACAGTATAGTGATAGAACCGTGGATTCTATCTGTTCTATCTCTAGAGGCCTCCAAGATGGAGCCAAAGCTTTGTCTGAACACTGACTAAAAATGTAGTGGAATATTCTACAATTTCTGATGGCCCTTGTGCTCTGGTACACAGGAGGAAAGTGTACAAAGAGAGGGTAAAGCCCTGCATTTTTTGGAGGCACTGGAGTGCAGTGCAGGAAAGGAGAAAGGGATCCCACCCTCCTTTTTTTTTTTTCTTTGGACAGGGTCTCACTCTCTTGGCCAGCGATCTCAGCTTACCGCAACCTCCGCCTCCCAGGCTCAAGGGATTCTCCCACCTCAGCCTCCCGAGTAGCTGGCATTACAAGCGCACGTCACTACTGCCTGGCTAATTTTTGTAATTTTAGTAGAGATGGAGTTTCACCATGTTGGCCAGGTTGGTCTTGAACTCCTGGCCTCAAGAGATCCTCTCTCCTTTCCTTGGCTTCCCAAAGCGCTGGGACTACCACGGCCTCCTAAAGTGCTGGGATTAAAAGCGAGAGCCATTGCGCCCGGCCCCCCCTTTCTTTACATTGGCTCATATGGAAGACCAAAGGCAGTTGGATTAGACATCGCAGATAGAAACAGCCGAAACCTACATGGCAACCAGTTGCGACAAATTTCCAAGGTAAACCACTACCGCTGGGAGCCTGGGTGGTTTTTAGCTCAAAGCGATGACCCCAGGAAGAACAAGCGGCCGCCGCTAGGGGGCGCCGCCACCTCCTCGCCGGGCGCCCACCGGCGGAGGCGCGCGCGCGAGACCTCCCACCGCGCCTGCGCTGAGGATGGATGCTGGCTCTGCTCTCCCCGACGCCCAGCCGTCCGGACCAGGGTGAAAAACTGCGTGACACGCAGTGAGCGTAGCGGCCATCTTCGTCTTCTGGGCACGTCAGCTGAGCCGGTTAAGGCTAAAGAGGAGCGTTGCGCAAGCGCACCCAAGACTGTCACAGGTAACTCCCATCTGACGAGTGAGGCGTCGCAGTCGTCGCCGGAAGTTTGGTGTTTGCGCTGCGGGGGAGGCGGCGGCCGCAGCAAAAGCAGCTGAGTGTCTCCAGATACCCGGATGTGAGGGGATCCGCTGACTCTAGTCCGACCCTCTGCCAGGCAAAAGGAAGGTACGTGAGCGTCCCTGACGGTCCCCGCCGCCTGCGTCCTCACCTCCCTTTTGCCAGCCTCTTCAGGGAGCGGACGATTCTCCGTCTTCCTGTTCCACTCTCCGTGGCGTGTTGCCTCGCACGCCTCTTCCGACTGCTTCGGTCCCGGCTCTCGCGCCTCCAGGAGGGAGGCGGGAGGTTTCAGGCTCCGAGACGCCGTCGCCTGAGGTAGGCATTTAACCTGCTCTCTCGGTCGCGCGACCGCGCACCACCTGCCGCTGCTTGCTGGGCGGTCACAGTTCATAAGGGGCCGAGGCGGAGTTCCCAGCACGGCCGCGAGGGCTCAGGGAGCCCCGAGGTGGCGTGCAGCCATTGCCATCACCAGGGCTTCGCCGGCGCTGGCCTGGCAGGTAGCCTCGGGCCCGGTCTCCGCCCCCGGCGTTTTTTCTTCCCAGCGCTTATCCCCAGCCAGCCTCTCCAGCCGTCGCTCGCCGCCCTTCGCCGCAAGCCGCTGACCGGGCCTGAGCCTGGAGGCCTCGGCAGTCTGCGGGGCGCAATGTGGGGTCCTAGTTCTACAGCCTTGAGCTTGGGAGGGGAGCGGGGCCAAGGTCATGGAGTAACTCAGGCTGGAGATGAGGGTCTCGGCACAGGTAGGACGGCCCTGGAATAGAAATGAGTGCATTGAGGGCCGCAGTGAAGTTTATAGCGATGGAGAGAGGCGAGCCAAAGGGAACTGGGTCCTAGATTTTTATCACGGTTCAAGATTATTTTACTGTGGGGGTTTATTTTGCATAGGCAGAATGGGATAGCAAGTCAGTTAGAAGACTACCTTCTCCCTCCGCCTCTCAGTGATGCATCCGAAAACCCAGCGTGTACTTTATTTTCCGGGGGGATGGGGACACAGCGGGTACCCCGGGAGGGAGGAAGAGGAGGAGGAAGGACCTCAAGCTTTGCGATTTAAGAAGTACTGTGAGCCTTGTTTTCTGTCGTCTTAGCTGCAATGAGATTCCTTTAACCAGGAATCGTGGCACATGGTATCTAAATTGTATTACCAAATGGTAGCTCAATAAATAACCTTTGCAGGAAACAAAAGCTTTACTTAGTGGAATAAGGTGTTGGATGGACACCCCACCAACACTGATTTTTTAAAAAACTGGATGAAATAATGGATTTCTGTTGAAAACATCCAGGTTGTGGTGAACTATGCCGTATTCACTTTGTCTCCTGATGAAGTCTTTAGTTTCTGTTTTATACAGGACACCAACACTGATGGAGTTTTAAATTATTATTTTATTTTATTTTGAGACGGGTCTTGCTCTGTCGCCCAGGCTGGATTGCAGTGGTGTAATCACGGCTCGCTGCAGCCTCTACCTACCCAGGCTCAAACAGTCCTCCCACCTCCACCTCCCCAAGTGACTGGGACTACAGGGGTCTGCCACCATGTTAGGCTAAACTTTGTATTTTTTGTAGAGACGGAGTTTCACCATGTTTCCAAGGCTGGTCTCGAACTCCTGGGTTCAGGTGATCACCTGGGCCTCCAGAAGTGCTGGGATTACAGGCCTCAGCCACTGTGTCTGGTGAATTTGTTTTGTTTTTTAAAATTTGAAATACAAAAAAATCTCAACATCAATGGAATTAAACATGGGAGTAGGATGAGAAGTTTTTTTAAAAAGTGCTTAATTTGGGCCGAGTGCAGTGGCTCACTCCAGTAATACCAGCACTTTGGGTGGTCAAGACAAGGGGTTTGAGACCAGCCTGACCAACACGGTACAACCCCGTCTCTACTAAAAATACGAAAATTAGCCAGGTATTTTTGGTGGCACGTGTCTGTAATCCAAGCTATTCAGGAGGATGAGGCAGGAGAATTGCTTGAACCGGGGAGGTGGAAATTGCAGTGAGCCGAGATCAGGCCACTGCACTCCAGCCTGGGAGACTGAGCGAGACTCCTCAAAAAAAGAAAAAAGAAAAAAAAAGGGTGCTTAATTTGGAAGCCGCAAATTGCAAGCCTAGGGCATGTAAGGAAATGAGGAAACTAGGACTGTATTAGAGCCACTTTTTCCCTAAAGGCAGAATGCAGAATATGACTGTTGGGTCAGATGTGTGACTTTGGAAGCACAGTTCCAAAATTTGTCCTGGCTTATGAACTAGAACTCCTTTATCATTGCTGACTGAGGAAAATATGCTATGTTTTACCTTTCTCGATATGATTCTGTAGTGAACAAATAATTTTTTTTTTGAGATGGCATCTCTGTCGCTCAGGCTGGAGTGCAGTGGCACGATCTCAGTTCACTGCAACTTCCACCTCCTAGGTTCAAGTGATTCTCCCACCTCGGCCTCCCAAGTAGCTGGGATTACAGGAGCTTGCCACCACACCCAACTAATTTTTTGTATTTTTAGTAGAGACAGGGTTTCACGGTGTTGGCCAGGCAGGTCTTGAACTCCTGGCCCCAGGTGATCCACTTGCCTCAGCCTCCAAAAGTGCCAGGATTACAGATGTGAGTCACCATGCCTGGCCAAGTAATTTTTTTAATGTCCAGTCCGTACAAGGTGCTGGCATTTAAATTGATTAATTAGGCTTCACAGAATAACCAAAAAAGTACCCTAATTAATGAATGCCATTAACTTCTTTTGCCAGATAGTGCTTTTTAGCTTGGTAATTCATTATGATGCAGAGCTGATTGTATTTATTCTATTAACGAAAGTGACCATCACTGCACAGTTCAGATTTTTTCATAATAGTTAAATATTTTTTTCATGACTTTTATTGGCAGATTTTTGTTCCACATAGAGTTCTTGGAATGCTCTATTGAAGGTGGTTAAAATTTAGGTAATAGAAACCAACTCTAGTAAAATTGTTACTATAGATAATTAGCTTACAGACTAGATTAACCCTTTTGTAACCCTGACAGGTATTTTTTTGTGCATCATTCAGTGAAAATCCTTTGGTTCCGTTTTTTCTGTATAAGTTTGGTATTATAATACTGTAATTACTTTTGGCAAATAGAGCATTCTGTTAACCCAGCCATTATGTCTTTTCTTTTTCTGAGGGGAAGGGGGATATACATCTTATGCTTGATTGCATTACAGTGCATTTGAAGAAATGAAGATTTATATCCTTGGCTCTCTTCACCTTCCTTTAAGCATTTATGGCAGCATATGTAAGATTCACGCAAAAACTCAGAGGATAAATTAAAAGGAGGTATTAAGTATTTAATGTAGTGGTTCTCAAACTTTTATTAAAAGGAGGTATTAAGTATTTAATGTAGTGGTTCTCAAACTTTTTGGTCTTAGGATCCCCTTATACTCTTAAAAATTATTCAAGCCTGTAATCCCAGCACTTTGGGAGGCCGAGGCGGGTGGATCACGAGGTCAAAAGATCGAGACCATCTTGGTCAACCTGGTGAAACCCCGTCTCTACTAAAAATACAAAAAAAATTAGCTGGGCATGGTGGCGCGTGCCTGTAATCCCAGCTACTCAGGAGGCTGAGGCAGGAGAATTGCCTGAACCCAGGAGGCGGAGGTTGCAGTGAGCCGAGATCGCGCCATTGCACTCCAGCCTGGGTAACGAGCAAACCTCTGTCTAAAAAAAAAAAAAAAAAAAAAAAAAAATTATGCAGGACTCTGGGCCAGGCGCGGTGGCTCACGCTTGTAATCCCAGCACTTTCTTTGGGAGGCTGAGGGAGGTGGATCACGAGGTCAGGAAATTGAGACCATCCTGGCTAACACGGTGAAACTCCATCTCTACTAAAAATATAAAAAATTAGCTGGACCTGGTGGCACACACTTAATGGTCCCAGCAACTTGGGAGGCTGAGGCAGGAGAATCACTTGAACCCAGGAGGCAGAGGTTGTGGTGAGTCAAGATCGCACCACTGCTCTCCAGCCTGAGCAACAGAGCAAGTCTCTGCTTAAAAAAAAAAAAATTATGTAGGACTCCAGTAGCTTGTTTATATGGATTTATATCTATTGATAGTTACTATATTAAAAATTAATTTCCTATATATAAATTTATATGAATATAATTAAACTTCAGCTTAATATAAATAACATTTTAATTTTAATTAAAATTCTTTTTTCAGTAACATGCTCACTGTGTTGCCCAGGCTGGCCTTGAACTCTTGGGGTGAAGTAATCCTCTTGCTTCAGCCTCCCGTATAGCTGGGACTACAGGTGTGCGCACTTAATATATTTAATAAATAACATTTTAATGAAAAACTATTCAAAAATAAAAAATTTAGCATAAGAATGGTGATAGTACTACATTTTTATAAATCTTTTTTTTTTTTTTTTTTTGAGACGGAGTTTTGCTCTTGTTACCCAGGCTGCAGTGCAATGGCACGATCTCGGCTCCCTGAAACCTCTGCCTCCTGGGTTCAGGCAATTCTCCTGCTTCAGCCTCCTGAGTAGCTGGGATTACAGGCACGTGCCACCACGCCCAGCTAATTTTTTGTATTTTTAGTAGAGACAGGGTTTCACCATTTTGACCAGGATGGTCTCGATCTCTTGACTTCATGATCTACCTGCCTGGGCCTCCCAAAGTGCTGGGATTACAGGTGTGAGCCACCGCGCCTGGCCCATTTTTGTAAATCTTAATGTTTGACCTGATACAAGACAGCTGGATTCTCCTATCAATCTGTTTCTATCTATGCTTCTGGTTGAAGTTTATTACCAGCATGTTGGGCAGGATATCTTAACTTTTTCAGATAGTTGTGATACTCTTTGATTCTGCAACAAAACTTGACAAGTGGTAATTTCTTAAAGGTTAGTGCAATGTGGAATCTGAAACCATGTCAACATATGTTTTATATTCTGTTGCATTAGAATTCATTGGTTTGTTTTGTACTTTTAATCTTTTACTCTTGTATGATTTTGATCTCAGGAATCTCTTGAAAGGGTCTTTGGGATCCTGAGAGTCCCCATACTACACTTTGAGCACTGCTGCTTTAAGGTAAATAATTGAATGTTTAGAATTAATGTAGTTATTGAAACTGAAGGGAATAATGTATGGAAATTGAATTGGCAAGTAGTTAAGTGAAACCAGAAGTAATTGAGTAAATAAATTGAGATGGAGTCTCACTCTGTCACCCAGGCTGTGCTGTCTTGGCTCACTGCAATCTCTGCCTCCAAGGTTCAAGTGATTCTCTCACCTCAGTCTCCTGAGTAGCTGGGATTACAGCCACCCAACATTATACCTGGCTAATTTTTAAAATTTTTGTAGAGATAGGATTTTACCATGTTGGCCAGGCTGGTCTTGAACTCCTGACCTCAGATGATCCACCTGCCTGGGCCTCCCAAAGTGCTGGGATTACAGGTGTGAGCCACCATGCCTGGCCAATAAGTTGTTTTTCAGCTTAAGCCGCCAGCCCTCATATCTCAACTGACCAATATTTTCTTTTTTATCTTTTTTCATAAAAACATTACCTCAGCTAGGCAGGGGAATCTCTTGAACCTGGGAGGCAGAAGTTGCAGTGAGCTGAGGTACTCCAGCATGGTGACAGAGCAAGACTCCATCTCAAAAAAAAAAAAAATTATCTCTGTAATATTATTATAGCTGATTATTAATATTATTATAACTGGCCCAGCATAGTGACTCATGCCTATAATCCCAGCACTTTGGAAGGCGAGGAGGTGGATCAACTGAGGTCAGGAGTTCAAGACCAGCCTGGCTAACATGGTGAAACCCCATTTTCACTAAAAACCCCGTTTCTACAAAAAATTAGCCAGGTATAGTGGCACGCACCTGTAATCCCAGCTACCCTGGAGGCTGAGGCAGGAGAATCTCTTGAACCTGGGAGGCAGAGGTTGCAGTGAGCTAATATCGCACCATTGCACTCCAGCTTGGTCAACAAGAGCAAAGCTCTGTCCCCCACAAAAAAAAAGATTTCTAATCTCTGAGTATCTATTACACATTTTATTTATTTATGTATTTGAGATGGAGTCTTGCTCTGTCGCCCTGTCTGGAGTGCAGTGGTGCAGTCTTGGCTCACTGCAACCTCCACCTCCTGAGTTCAAGCAGTTCTCCTGCCTCAGCCTCCCGAGTAGCTGGGATTACAGGTGTACACCACCACGTCTGGCTAATTTTTTTATTTTTAGTAGCAATGGGGTTTCACCATATTGGCCAAGCTGGTGTCCAACTCCTGACCTCAGGTGATCTATTATGCATTTTAGAATGTGAGAAATACTAGGGTTACCTTAAATAATAGTAGTTCATTGGGAAGATATGTAGAAATAAAAGACTATTTACAGAGCTAGATCTTGTGGAAGAAAAGAATAGGTATCACCAAACACTAGACTTTGCTGAAAAACAATTCACCAGGTCTTAAAGAAACTTGAATATATTTCAGGACTCAGAAGGTGGCTGAGAATAGTAAAGCTCTAGCAGTTGGTTTGCCTTGTTTTAATTCCTCAAGCAGCATGTATCTATAATTCTTAATTTTGTTCTTTGCTATTACAGTAGTAGATCTTAACCCAGGGTGATTCTGCCTCTGGGGAAACATTTGCAGTATCTAGAGATAACTTTGATTGTGAGGACCAGGGGAAGGGTTGCTGCTGCTGCTGCTGTTGCTGAACAGGCTGCTGCTCCTCCATGCCCAGGACAGCTCCCCACAACCAAGACTCTACGTCTGAGTCTTGGAATGTTCAAAAGGTTCAAAATGTTTATAGTGCGGGGTCCGCAGTGGCTCCGGCCAGATGTCGTGGCACTTGCGGAGGCAAGGCCATGAGTTCAAGGCCAACCTGAGCAACCTTAAAAGCTCTCATTGATTGGCAAAAAAAAAAAAAGTTTATAGTGGTAAGTTGGAAAACCCTGCATTATAGTGACTAGATGTTGGCACCTCTTGGGTCACAAACCCACCCTTGATCTAGTTAGCTATGAGAAGCATAGCAGGGTCAGGACTTTCAGAATGTAACTGTGAATTGTCTAAGGTTTTTTTGTTTTATTTTTTGAGACAGAGTCTCACTCTGTTGCTCTCTTGCTCAGGCTGGAGTGCAGTGGTACAATCTTGTCTCACTGCAACCTCTACCTCCTGGGTTCAAGTGATTCTCCTGCTTCAGCCTCCCGAGTAGCTGGGACTACAGGCATGCACCACCATGCCTGGCTAATTTTTTAATGGAGATGGGGTATTTCGTATTTTTTTTTAGTAGAGATGGGGTTTCACCATGTTGGCCAGGCTGGTCCTGAACCCCTGACCTCAGGTAATCTGCCTGCCTTGGCCTCCCAAAGTGCTGGGATTACAGGGGTGAGCCACCATGCCCGGCCCTTTTTTTTTTTTCTTTAAAGGAGGTGCCTGTGGCCATGGCAAGTTTCTCAGAAAGAGTTATGAATTTGACAAGTCACTATACCTAGATTTGCAGTCAGTACTTCTCTCGTTTCTTTGATATTGTTAAAAGGTTGTGTAGTTGAAATGGATTAAGAACTGGTAAATTAGGCTGGGCATGGTGGCTCACGCCTGTAATCCCAGCACTTTGGGAGGCTGAGGCAGGTGGATTACGAGGTCAGGAGTTCAAGACCAGCCTGGCCAAAATGGTGAAACCCCATCTCTACCAAAAATGCAAAAATTAGCTGGGCATGGTGTCGTATGCCTGTAATCTCAGCTACTCAGGAGGCTGAGGCAGGGAATTGCTTAAACTGGGAGGTGGAGGTTGCAGTGAGCCAAGTGCAGTGCCACTGCACTCCAGCCTGGGCAACAGAGCGAGACTCTGTCTAAAAAAAAAAAAGAATTGGTAAATTATTGTCGTTAAGGAGATTAAGGATTTGTGGTGATCCATGTGAAGTTTGTAGCTGATGATGGTCGTAACAGCTTGATTGGAGTAGAAAACTATGAAGAGTTTCTGGTGGTCAGTAGGAATACAACAATGAAGAAAGAAAGTTTGATAGCAGAATGGCATAAACCTTAAAAGAGACGATGGGTAGAGAATTTTGCATAAGATGAAAAATAATTGTACTGGGAAAACTGTAGGCCCCTTGATGTGATATAGTCTGCTTATGAGAGATACTAGTTTCCTATATCTGCTCTAACAAATTATTAGAAACTTGATGGCTTAAAAACAATAGAAATTTGGTGGAGTATGGTGGCCAACGGTCGCCTGTAATCTCAGCACTTTAGGAGGCCAAGGCACATGGATGACGAGGTCAGGAGATCGAGACTGTCCTGGCCAACATGGTGAAACTCTGTCTCTACTAAAAATACAAAAAATTAGCTGGGCATGGTGGTGCGTGCCTGTGATCCTGACTGCTTGGGAGGCTGAGGCAGGAGAATTGCTTGAAACCCGAAAACGGAAGTTGCAGTGAGCCAGGATCATGTCACTGCACTCCAGCCTGGCAATAGAGTGCGACTGTCTCAAAAAAAAGAATTTCTTCTCTTAAATTTGTTCCTTGCCTCATCTACCTTCTGGTGGTTTCTCTGGCATTCTTGGGCCTGTGACCACAATACTCCAATCTCTGCCTTCATTTTCACATTATTTTCTCTTGCCTGTTTCTGTCTCCTTCTCTTACAAGGATATCTGTGCCACTCCCTTACAAGGACATTTGTTATTGGATTTAGGGCCTACCTGGATAATTCAGGATGATCACATCTCAAGATCCTTAATTTAATTATGTCTGCAGAGACTTTTTTTTTCCTCAATAAGATCACAACCACAGGTTTCTGGGATGTTTTTTGAGAGGTATATGGAGCTTGATTCTGCAGTAAATCTAATGGAATTACTGCACCTTGAGATGGCTAGAAGTTTCCAATGGAATGTTGAAATATAAGGCGGTTGGATAGGAGACTATTTAAGGGCAATACATAAATAAATAACAAAATTAAAAAAAAGGTAAATTAAAAAAAATCAAGATGAGGTTGGGCAAAACAATACCAGGGTTGTGTAGGAAAAAGGCTGATTAATTTTAAGAAGTTACTTGGAAAAAAGTGGCTACATTGAAGTGATAGGATAATTGTTTTTATTTGACTTGTTGATGTTACCTATTTTTTTTTTTTGAGACGGAGTCTCACTTTGCTGCCCAGGCTGGAGTGCGGTGGTGCAATCTAGGCTCACTGTAGCCTTGGCCTCCAGGTACAAAGAGTTCTCATGCCTTAGCCTCCCGAGTAGCTGGGATTATAGGTATGTACCACCATACCCGGCTAATTTTTGTATTTTTAGTAGAGATGGGGTTTTACCATGTTGGCCAGGCTGGTCTCACTCCTGACCTCAGGTGACCTGCCCACCTTGGCCTCCCAGAGTGCTAGGATTACAGGCTTCATTATTTTTTTTTTTTTTTTTTTTTTTTTATGTTTCTAAAAGTACAGAGTTTATTTTAAAGCATAACATCAAGTTTGAATCTCATGAAACAAAACCATCTCTTCATTATATGTTGATTTTGGCAAAAAGTAAGACTAGCATACAATAGTTATATATGAAAAAGTAGTTTAAAGTAAGAGGTGTTTGCTTTTAGTAATAAACTAGTATGAAACTAAAGTACTATATAAACCTTCTGTGTTCATTATTTAGGCCATGTTTCCTGTCCTTTTAGAAGTCTTCAGACTTAATATTTTAAAAGTTGCCCTTTTTATTTGATACTTCTACTTTTTGCTGGAATAGAAGCATAGAAAAGATTCTCGCTGCTTAGACTAAACTGAAAGAAGGAGGTAAGATACCTTAGGAATAATAGCATTAATGATTGCAAATTTTTTTAAAGGGGCAAAACTACTAAGATTTGTTTTAGCAAAAACTCAAGGGAAACCAATCTTGGGAAATAATCATCAACCTATTTTATAAGAGTTATTTAAAAATCTAATCTCTTTGCTAGAGAATGCCGTTTTAAGCTTACTTGGCATCCCACTTCCATGATATACATATGCATATTTCACTGAGACAATCAACTTGGAAATATCGTTCCATCATAGCTGTTAAACAAGGAACTTGTCCACTGAATGAATCTACTGTTTTTTTATGTGTAGAAAGATATCTATTCTGATTACTGCAATATGCAATAAAGGCTACATTTAGAAGCTTGGAAAATCTGTGGTTCAATACATAAAAGTTTCATCTACAAAAGAATGGGAATGTTATAATTACCATAGGAAATTACAATGTTTAACATATCATAAACATTACCTGCAAGTACTATTTAATCACAATAATATAGCATCAAAAAGGTACATATTCTTGTTCATTAAAATAAATGAGGCAACTTAGGAGTAAGAGACAGGTTATTTTTCTCTCCCCTCCCCGCCTTTTAACATAGAGCCAGAGATACACTTAAGCTGCCATAAAAATGGCAAAAAAGGAGGGAAGGGTGTTTTCTCTGTAAAAATCATTGGTGTACACAGGATGTTTTGGCAGGTAACAACACTATGTCTATGATGTCTACTTATTAATATAATTTTATGTTAATATCCCATTCTCCTCACCATAATGCTCAAATTTTAATTTTGTATTCATTTTGAATGTTTGCATGTGAAAACACCAACTAATCTATTATTTCAACATTAAGTCTATTTATTTTGAAGCAAAGCTAATTCCGCTATTTTATAAAAGCAGTGGAGACTCATTTATCTGGATGCTTAAAGCACAGTGCTTAAGGTTCATGCTTGCTGCTTTGCTTGCACTTCTGCTTCCTTTGAACCAGGAGGGGCTGTCAGGCCTAAGAAGGCATACACTGCATTATTTTCTCTGGCTTCAAAGAAAGCATCATAGTCCCCTCGATACTGGCTTTCATTGAAAATCTGAGGTGGCAGGGGGTACCCTGTGGCTGGTCGACTATTTTCAGGTACATTTTCTCTCATCCACTTCCGATTCTCTTCATTGGCTGCAATATCTTTTTCTTCAAATCCTATTTTGTTGGCTTCTAGGAAACCAAGCACATCCTGCTGTTTCTTCTTAATCGCCGTAGAGCCAGAGGAAGATGCGATATATACACGGATCACCATCCTGGGAACAGCGGCTGCGGTTGTTTGGGTCCTGAAAAGGGCTGTGGAGCAGCTGCAGCAATGGCTGGAATCCAGCTAGGGGCTGAACAGCGGTTCTACAGGCTTCATTATATCACACCCAGCTGATGTTATCTATTAATAACATTCCTAAAATTAAATCATCTCTGGATCCTCTTTTTATTTTTATTTATTTTATTTTATTTATTTTTTGAGACAGAGTCTCACTCTGTTGCCCAGGCTGGAGTGCAGTGGTGCGATCAAGGCTCACTGCAACCTCCCACCTCAGCCTCCCAAATAGATGGGATTATAGGTGAACACTACCATGCCTGGCTAAGTTTTGTATTTTTTGTTGAGATGGGGTTTTGCCATATTGTCCAGGCTGGTCTTAAACTCCTGTGCTCAAGGGATTCTCACACCTCAGCTTCCCAAAGTGTTAGGATTACAGGTGTGAGGCACCATACCTGGCCAGTTTTTCTCTTTGGTTGGCCATTCTATTAATTTGTAGGATATCTTATACATATTGTATAATCTGTGGATACTAATCCTTTTTAAGTTAATATTTTCACCTTCACATTTTATGTGTATAGTCAATCCATTTACCATTGTATGATGTAGGGATCCAATTTCTTTTTCTTTCTTACTTTTTTTTTTTAAGAGTAAAGTGAAAATAAGTTTATTAACAAAGTAAAAGAATAAAGAATGGCTACTCCCTAGGCAGAGCAGCCTAGGGATCTAATTTCATTTCCGCCCCCATATGGTATCTTGTTATCCCAGTACTATTTCTTTCTTTTTTTTTCTGTTTTTGCTTCATCAAAGAAAATCAATACTATTTCTTTAAGACTACAGTGCTATCGTAAACCAAATAATCATATATATTAAATGCTTGGTTTGATTCTTATTTCATGTCATTGGTCTGTTCTATTGGTCTATTTGTCTTCCTGGAAACGGTATCACACATTAATGTGGTTTTATAGTCTTGATATCTGATAGGACAAATCCACCCACCTTGTGGGTTTTGCTTTTTTTTTTTTTTTCTGTAACGAATCCTTACTGGGTTGCCTGGGCTGGAGTACAGGGGCTGTTCTGCAGGCAGGATCATAGCACAGTATAGCCTCAAATTTCTGGGCTCAAGTGATCCTCTCACATGAGGCTCCTGAGTAGCCAGGACTATAGGCATGTGTTACCAGACCCGGGGGCACCTTATGTTTTTGTTGTTGTTGTTTTTTGTTTTGAAGTTTCGCTGTGTTGCCCAGGCTAGAGTGGAACTCCTGGCCTCAAGTGATTCTCATGCTTAAGCCTCCCAAGTAGCTGAGATCATAGGTGTGTGCCACCACACCTGGCTAATTTATTTTTTGTAGAGATAGGGTCTTCCTTTGTTGTCCAAGCTGGTCTTGAATGTCCGGGCTCAGGCAGTTCTCCCACCTTGGCCTCCTAAAGTACTGGGATAATAGGCATGAGACACTGCACCTGGCTACTTTTATCTTTTTAAAAAAGGTTTTAATGAGAGAGGACCCAAATTACTAAAATAAGGAATGAGAGATAGTACCAAAGTAAAAACGATTATAGGGGAATATGAACAGTGGTATCCTAACAGTTTCAATAACCTAGATAAAATAGACAAGTTTCTAGAAACTGACTCGAGAAGAAATGGAAAATCTGAATAGATCTGTAACAAAGAGGTTGAATAAAAATACCTCCAGAAATGAAAAGCACAGGCTCAGAGGCTTCACTGATGCAGTCTACCAAACGTTTAAAGAAGAATGAATGCCAATCATTCATACACTTCAAAAAACAGAAAAGGAGGGAATCTCTCTTAGCTCATTTTATGAGGTCAGTATTATCTTAGTACTAAAACTAGGCAAAGACATCACAAGAAAACTACAGATTAGTGCTTGCTTAGGTAGCACATATACTAAAATTGGAACGATACAGAGAATATTAGCATGCCCCCTGCGCAAGGATGACACGCAAATTCATGAAGCATTCCATATTTTTTTATTAAAAAAAGCTACAGATTAATAATTTTTATGAATATACCCACACAAATCCTCAACTATATATTTGCAGACTGAATCCAACAACCTATAAAAATAATAATACACAATGACCAAGTTGCATTTATCCCTGCAGTGTACAGTTAGTTTAGCATATGAAAATCAGTCAGTGTGACACACCATGTTGGTATAGTAAAAGAAAGAAATGGACATGATTACCTCAATAGATGCAGAAAAAATTTTGACAAAATTCAGTATCTAACAAAGCTTTCTCCCTAATGTTAGGAATAAGATGAAGATATCTGCTCTTGATACTTCTTTCAACAGTGAAAAACAGGTTTCCAGTGGAGGTTCTAGCCAAGGTAGTTCGGCAAAAGGAAAAGAAAAGGCATCAGGTTGGAAAGGAAGAAGTAAAATTCTCTCTCTTTGCAGATGACATGATCTTACATGTATAAAATCCTAAGAAGTTCACACAAAAAACCTATTAGATGTAATTAAATTTAACATTACAGGACACAAGATTAGTGTACAAAAATTAGTTTTGTGTATACTGTGATGAACCATCTAAAAAGATAATTAAGAAAATAATTGTTGGGGCCAGGCGCAGTGGCTCACGCCTATAATCCCAGCACTTTGGGAGGCCGAGGTGGGTGGATCACGAGGTCAAGAGATTGAGACCATCCTGGTCAACAAGGTGAAACCCCATCTCTACTAAAAATACAAAAATTAGCTGGGCATGGTGGTGCACACCTGTAGTCCCAGCTACTCGGGAGGCTGAGGCAAGAGAATTGCTTGAACCCAGAAGGCGGAGGTTGCGATGAGCCAAGATTGTTCCATTGCACTCCAGTCTGGGTAACAACAGCGAAACTCCATCTCGGAAAAAAAAAAAAAAAAAGAAAATAATTGTTGCTGGGTATGGTGGCTCATATCCGTAATCCCAGCACTTAGGAGGCCAAGGTGGGCGGATCACAGGGTCAGGAGTTTGAGACCAGCCTGACCAACATGGTGAAACCCCATCTCTACTAAAAATAGAAAAATTAGCCAATTGTGGTGGCAGGTGCCTTTAATCCCAGCTACTCAGGAGGCTATGGCAGGAGAATCGCATGAACCCGGGAGGTGGAGGTTACAGTGAGCCGAAATCACGCCATTGTACTCCAGCTTGGGTGACAGAGCGAGACTCTGTCTCAAAAAAATATATAATAATAATACTTATTAAAATAATAATAATAATAATTATATATATTTTTTTAGAGACAGGGTTTCTTCATGTTGGTCAGGCTGGTCTTGAACTCCTGACCTCAGGTGATCTGCCCACCTTGGCCTCCCGAAGTTCTGGGATTATAGGTGTGAGCCACCATGCCCAGCCTGAAAATAATTACTTTAATAAATCAGTGTATGAAAGAGATACCTGCATTTCCATGTTTGTTGTGGCACTAATCACAATAGGCAGGCCATGGAATCAACCTAAGTAAGTGTCCATCAGTAGATGAATGGATAAAGAAAATGTGGTATGGAATGAAATATTATTCAGCCATAAAAATATGAAATCTTGTTTATCTGCAGCAACATGGATAAAACTGGAGGACAGTATGTTAAGTGAAATAACCAGGCATGGAAAAACATAATGCATATTCTTGTTCATATGTGGGAGCCACAGAAAAAGTTGATCCCATGGAGGTAGAGAGTAGCATAGTGGTTACCAGAGGCTAAGAATGGTGGAGGGAGGAGAGGATGGAGAGAAGTTGGTTAATGGTTATAAAAATACAGTTCGAAGGAATAAGTTCGAGTGTTTGGTAGCTCAGTAGGGTGACTGTAGTTAATAATTTATTGCATATTTCAAAATAACTAGAGGAGAAGATTTGGAATGTTCCTAATACAAATAAATAATAAATGTTTGAGGTGATGAATATTCCACTTACTGTTACTTATTACGTGGTTGTATGTCTTTATCAAAATGTCACATAATACCCCAGAAATGTGTGCAATTATTATGTACCAATAAAACATTTCTTTTAGACTGGGCTCATATACCTCTAATCCTAGGACTTTGGGAGGCTGAGGTGGGAGAATGGTTTGAGGCCAGGTGTTTGAGACCAGCTTGGCAACATAGGAAGACTGCATCTCTTCAAAAACTAAAAAATGAGCCAGGTAAGGTGGGATGAGCCTATGTTCCCGGCTACTCAGGGTCCTGAGATGGGATGATCACTTGAGGCCAGGAGTTTGAGACTTGCTTAGGCAACATAGTGAGACATAGTCTCTAAAAAAAGAGAATAGCAAAGTTTGGGGCTCACACTTCATCTTTTAAAAATTTACTAGAAAGCTACTGTAATCAAGATTGTGTGGTCCTGGCATAAGATCATAAAGACCAATGGGATAGAATTGAGAGTATAGAAACAAACTCATACATTTATGGACAGTTGATCTTTAACAAAGGTGCTAGGACAATTCAATGGGTAAAGAATACTGTTTTTTAACAAAGGATACTGGTACAACTTGATAACTACAGGCTGGCATCTGATTGGCCCAAAGTAAGTCAGGTGGCCGAGACAATCAGGGAAGTACAGATACTGTGTCCCCACTGAGGCCAAAGTACGGCATGTGGCCAAGCCTGGCATCTTTTCAGAAGGAAAGTATAATTCCATGGAGGTGGGGTTTAGGATAAGTAGTGATTATTTTTGAAGAAAAACTGAATCTGTCATATGGTATAAGATTGAGATGGTGACCATACAGTTGTGTAGTGTTTTGCATATAATAGTGAAAAATCATCACAGGCTTTTTTTTTTTTTTGAGATGGGGGGAGGTCTCACTCTATCACCCAGGCTGGAGTGCAGTGGTGTGATCACAACTCACTGCCAGCCTCTACCTCCTTGGGCTCAGGTGATACTCCCACCTCAGCCTGCGAAGTAGCTGGGCCTACAGACATGTGTCATCACACCTAGCTAATTTTTGTAGTTTTTGAAGAGACAGGGTTTCATCATGTTGCCCAGGCTTGTCTCAAACTCCTGGGCTCAAGCGATCCTTCCACCTCCACCTCCCAAAGTGCTACAGTTACAGGTGTGAGCCACTGCGCCTGACTGGGCCATTTTTTTAGTCTAGCTTTGTCTAAGTTGTTTTAATGTATCAGTTAATAGTGATATTTTTGTATTCTTATTTTTTTTTCAACAGATTATCCTACTTTGGCTATAGAGTTTTTTTTTTTTTTAAGATTAATTGCTAAACATACACAAAGTGATAAGGAGTATCATTCATTAGAATCATCATCAATCAACTTGAAGAAAAGGTGATATATTTTTTCTTTAAGGTAAGTGACTTATACTTTTATAATTTAGTATCTTCCAAGATGATTAATATGTGTGCCAAATATACTTTATATTTTCATGGAATTTTAACTTAGTTTTATTTTTCAACAAGGTTGTATGTCTACATAATAAAACATTTCAGTGGGTATATAGTGAAAAGTAAGCTTTTCTCATACTCCTGGAACTTGGTCCAGGAGTTCTTTTGTTTAGAAATCATCACTATTGGCCAGGCGAGGTGACTCACACCTGTAATCCCAGCACTTTGGAAGACTGAGGCGGGCAGATCACCTGAGGTCAGGAGTTGGAGATCAGCCTGACTAACATGGAGAAACCCCATCTCTACTAAAAATAAAGAATTAGCTAGGCATAGTGGTGCATGCCTGTAATCCCAACTACTCCGGGGGCTAAGGCAGGAGAATTGATTGAACCCTGGAGGTGGAGGTTGCGGTGAGCCGAGATGGTGGCTGGGCAAGAAGAGTGAAACTGTATCAAAAAAGAAACAAAAAAGGAAATTAGTTGACCATATACCTGTCGTTTGTTTCTGGGTTCTCTTTTCTATTTTACTGTCCTCTGTATGTTTTGTCATTGCTATACTGTCTTGATTTTTTTTTTTTTTTTTTTTTTTAATGTGGTCTTGCCCTGTCGCCCAGGCTGGAGTGCAGTGGCACGATCTTGGCTCACCACAACCTCTGCCTCCTGGGTTCAAGCGATTCTCCTGCCTCAGCCTCCTGAGTAACTGGGATTATAGGCACATGCCACCACGCCCATCTAATTTTTGTATATTTAGTAGAGATGGAGTTTCACCATGTTGGTTAGGCTAGTCTCAAACTCCTGACCTCGTGATCCACCTGCCTCTGCCTCCCAGAGTGCTGGGATTACAGGCATGAGCCACGATGCCTGGCCTACTGTCTTGATTTTTGTAGCTGTATAGTAAGTCCTGAAATGGATAGTGTTAGTATTTCAATTCTGCTCTTTTTAAAAAATGTTTTGGCTATTGTATATAGTTTGCATTTCCATATACATTTTAAAACCAGACTGTTAATTTCTGTATAAAAAGCCTGTGGGAGCCAAGTGTAGTGGTGCATGCCTCAAGAAGGATCACTTGAGCCCAGAAGTTTGAGGCTGCAGTGAGTTATGATTACACCACTGCACCCAGCCTGGGTTACAGAGAAACCCTGTCTCAAAAATAAATATAAATATTGGACCTATAGATCTATTAAAAAGAAAAAAGGTCTGTGGGAATTTTGCCTGGAATTGATTTGAATCTCAGTTTTACGTTGACATGATTGCATGGTATTCTGTTGTACAAATGTACCATCAATTATATAAACAGTGTTAGAGTGACGGTTGTTTGTTGAGGGGAATTCAGTCTTTGTTGAAACATTATTAGTTGTGAGTTCTGTAGTTACATGTGTTTTGTGCACTTGTGCAATATAACGGTAATATAAAGTCCTAGAAATGAAACTTTGAAAATTAGCATTTATAATTTTAATAGATGGATTATCCTGCATAGACATTGAATCACTTGTAGTAATGTAAGGTACCTGACACAAACCTTTACCAAGACTGTATTGTTAAACTTCTTGATCTTTGGCCAGTCTGATAGGTGTTGGTTTTAGTTTGTATTATCTTGTTATCTATTTTACCAGCCATTTATCATTTTTCCCTGTAAATATATTGTGGTTATTAGCTTTTGCTATTTCTTGACAGTATTTTTCCCCAGTTTTGACCTTCAAACCTTGACTTCTGAATTTTATGATAAGGCTTAAAAGGTCTTTCTCACTGTGAAAACAAATATTTAAAGATTTCCTAGCTGGAGGTGGTGGCTCGCACCTGTAATCCCAGCACTTTGGGAGGCTGAGGCAGGAGGATCACCTGAGGTCAGGAGTTTGAGACTAGCCTGGCTAACGTGGTGAAACTCCGTTTCTACTACAAATACAAAAAAATTAGCTGGGCGTGATGGTGTGTGCCTGTAATTCCAGCTACTTGGGAAGCTGGGTCAGGAGAATCTCTTGATCCTGGGAGGTGGAGGTTGCAGTGAGCCAAGATCCCACTATTGCACTCCAGCTTGGGCATTGAGCAAAACTCTGTCTCAAAAAAAAAGAAAAAAAAAAAAAAGATTTCCTATACTATTTTTCTTGAACACTTTCTTACTCGTAAACTAGGATAGGTTACCTAGATGGTTACCCAGTTTTCCTGACACCAATTTATTTATTTACTTATTTATTGGAGACGTGGTCTTTATCACCCAGGTTGAAATCTGATTAATTAATTTTTTTTTGAGATGGTGTCTTGCTATGTTGCCCAGGCTGGTGTCAGACCCTGGCCTCATGTTATCCTCCTGTCTCATCTCTGGAATAGCTGTTATTATAGGTGTGTGTGCCCATCAAAAGCAATCGTTGAGTAATTTTTTTTCATTAATTTGAAATGAATGAAATTAATACCACCTTTATATCTAAATCCCCTGTTACATTAGGGCCTCAAAAGATAAGTAAAATAAAATAAAAATATTTTATTTTCCTTTTTATCTTTTGAGACTGGAGTGCAGTGGTGCCATCTTGGCTCACTGCAACCTCCGCTTTCCAGGTTCAAGTGATTCTCCTGCCTCAGCCTCAAGAGTAGTTGAGATTATAGGCACCCACCTCCATGCCCAGCTTATATTTGTATTTCAGGTCTGTTTTTAGAGTCTGTTTTGTTCTGTTAATACAAATTGATATATTGGAACTAAACTGTTAAATATTACAGCTAAGTGTATTTCAATATCAGTGTAAATCTACCCTGTTACTTTTTAAGTTGATTTTTGTGTGTGTGCGCGTTTGTGCATGTTTATGCATGTCTTTGTATTGCTATAAATGGCATGTGGTTTTTTCTATTGTGTATTTCAGCTTATTGTTTATATAGTTAGAACTTTGCTTGCTGAATTTAATGGAAGACTTCTTGTGCTATTTCATAAAGCATGATACTTGATTTTGGTTTGTACAGTCCAAAAGTTGATGATAATAAAAATATATTTGAAAATATCTTCAGTTCATTAACTGCCAGGTCATTCTTTTTTTTTTAAGTAAATGAATTGAACCAAACAGGTTCATTCTTTTTATTGGTATGAGTAGACAATCAAGAGTGACTGTGTATCTGTATTAGCAGTAGTAATTCTTTTTTGGTGCACATTCTCTTGTAGACTCTAGAGGAGGATGTTTGGGAGTTAAGTTTTTTGACACCCTGAATATCTGAAAATTATTCTACTCTACACTTAATTGTTTGGGCATTGAATTCTACTTGGGACATAATTTTTCTTCAGCATTTTGAAGGATTTTCCCATTTATCTTGCTTCCATTGTTGCTATGGAGAGGTTTGTTGTAATTCTGATCTTAATCATCTGTATGTGGTCAGGATTTTTCTCCTCTAGAAGTTTGAGAGTCCTATTTTTATCCTTATGATAGGTTTTTTTAAAAATTAAAAGTTTGTTTCCTCATTGCCAGCAGAAACATAGAAAGACTTAAAAAATTTTTTTTGCGGGGGCTGGGTCCTGTGGCTCAACGCCTGTAATCCCGGCACTTTGGAAGGCAGAGGTGGGTGGATTACCTGAGGTCAGGAGTTTGAGACCAGCCTGACCAGTACAGTGAAACCCTGTCTCTACTAAAAATACAAAAAACTTAGCTAGGCATGGTGGGGCATGCCTGTAATCCCAGCCAATCAGGAGGCTGAGGCAGGGGAATTGCTTGAACTCGGGAGACCGAGGTTGCAGTGAGCTGAGATCGTGCCACTGCATTCTAGTCTGGGTGACAGAGCGAGACTCCCATCTCAAAAATAAATAAATAAAAATTTTTAAAATCTGTTGTTCTAAATACTCTTAGGCCCCTCTTCCTGTTTATTGTTGTTGTTTTTGAGACGGAGTCTCACTCTGTTGCCCATGCTAGAGTGCAGTGACACGGTCTCAGCTCACTGCAGTCTCCACCTCCCAGGTTCAAGTGATCCTCCTGCCTCAGGCTCCTAGCAGCTGGAATTACAGGTACGTGCCACCATGTCTTGCTAATTTTTGTATTTTTAGTAGAGACAGGCTTTTGTCATGTTGGCCAGACTGGTCTCAAACTCCTAACCTCAGGTGATCCATCCACCGTGGCCTCCCAAAGTGCTGGGATTACAGGTGTGAGCTGCTGTGCCTGGCTTTGTTTTTTTATTGAGACAGAGTGCACCGTTGCTTGGGCTGGAGTGCAGTGGCAAGATCTCGGCTCACCGCAACCTTGGTTTCTTGGGTTCAAGCGATTCTCCTGCTTCAGCCTCCCAAGTAGCTGGGATTACAGGTGCCCACCACCATGCCCAGCTAATTTTTTGTATTTTTAGTAGAGATGGGGTTTCACTGTGTTGGCCAGGCTGGTCTCGAACTCCTGACCTCGTGATTCTCTGGTCTTGGCCTCCCAAAGCGCTGGGATTACAGTTGTAGACCGCCACCCCCGACCCCTATTTATTTATTTATTTGAGACAGAGTCTCGCTGTTGTTGCCCAGTATGGAGTGCAGTGGCGCCATCTCGGCTCACTGCAACCTCCGCCTCCCAGGTTCAAGCAATTCTCCTGCCTTAGCTTCCCGAATAGCCGGGATTACAGGCACATGCCGCCATGCCTTGCGAATTTTTGTATTTTTAGTAGAGACAGGGTTTCATCACTTTGGCCAGGCTGGCGAACTCCTTACCTTGTGATCCGCCCACCCCGGCTCCCAAAGAGCTGGGATTATAGGCCTGCACCACCATGCCTGGCTCTGTTTTTTTGTTGTTTTTTTAAAGAGATGAGGCCTTGCTTTGTCACCCAGTCTGGAGTGCACTGGTGTGATTATAGTTCACTGCAGCCTCCGAATCCTGAGCTCACATGATCCTCCTGCCGCAGCCTTCCGAGCATCTGGGCCGGTCTGCAGGCGTGTATCACCATGCTCAGTTTATTAAAAAAATTTTTTTTTGGCCAGGTGCGGTGGCTCATGCTTGTAATCCTGGTACTTTGGGAGGCCGAAGTAGGCAGATCACTTAAGGCCAAGAGTTTGGTACCAGCCTGGCCAACATGGTGAAACCCTATCTTTCTCTCTCTCTCTTTTTTTTAAAGTTATTGTTATCCTTTAAGTTCTACGGTACCTGTGCATGTGCAGAAGTTTTGTTAGGTAGGTATGCATGTACCATGGTGGTTTGCTACACCCATGAACCTTTCATCTACATTAGGTATTTCTCCTAATGCTATCCCTCCCCTAGCTCCCAGTTCCCCAACAGGCCCATTGTGTGATGGTCCCCTTTTTGTGTCCATATGTTCTCATTGTTCAGCTTCCATTTATGAGTGAGAACATGCAGTGTTTGATTTTCTGTTGTGTTAGTTTGCTGGGAATGATGGTTTCCAGCTTTATCCATGTTCCTGCAGAGGACATGAACTCATCCTTTTTTCTGGCTGCATAGTATTTCATGGTGTATATGTGCCACAGTTTCTTTTTTCTTTTTTTTTTTTTTTAAGACAGAATCTCACTCTTGCCAGGCGCCAGGCTGGAGTGCAAGGGCATGATCTAGGCTCACTGCAACCTCCACCTCCCAGAGGCCAGGCTGACCAGGCAATTATCCTGCCTCAGCCTCCTGAGTATCTGGGACTACAGGCATGTGCCACCACATCCAGCTAATTTTTGTATGTTTTAGTAGAGATGGAGTTTCACCATGTTGGCCAGGATGGTCTTGATCTCTTGACCTCGTGATCTGCCCACCTCAGCCTCCTAAAGTGCTGGGATTACAGGTATGAGCCACTGTGTCTGGCCTGTGTGCCACATTTTCTTTATCCAGTCTATCATTGATGGGGATTTGGGTTCATGAAACCGTGACTCTACTAAAAATACAGAAAAGGCCAAGTGCAGTGGCTCACGCCTGTAATCCCAGCAGTTTGGGAGGTCGAGGTGGGCAGATCACGAGGTCAGGAGTTTGAGACCAGCCTGGCCAACTTGGTGAAACCCCATTTAAAATTTTTTGTAAAAACACAGAAAAATTTGCTGGGTGTGGTGGCTCGTGTCTGTAATCCTAGCTCCTTGGGAGGCTGAGGCAGGAGAATCCCTTGAACCCAGGAGGTAGAGGTTGCAGTGAGCCGAGATTGGGCCACTGCACTCCAGCCTGGGCAACAGAGTGAGCTCCATCTTGGAAAAAAACAAACAGAAAAATTAGTCAGGCATGGTGGTGCATGCCTGTGGTTTCAGCTACTTGGGAAGCTAAGGCACAAGAATTGCTTGAACCCATAAGGTGGAGGTTGCAGTGAGCTGAAATCGTGCCACTGCATTCTAGCCTGGACAACAGAGCAACACTCTGTCTCTAAAATAAAAAAGAAAAATATTTTCTAGAAGTAGGTCTTGCTCTGTTACTCAGGTTGCTCTCAAATGATCCTCCTGCTTCAGCTTCCTAGTGTAGCTGGGATTATAGGCTTGCCACTGCACCTAGCAGTCTTGGGTGTTTTAGTCTGGAAACTCATGTCATTCAGGCCTAGGAAAAATTTCTTGAGTTCTTGATTTTTTTTTTTTTCCCCTAATGCTTTCCTCTATTCTATGAAAGGTCTTGTTGGACTTCATGGATGGTCCTCTAATTTTCTTATTTTTTTCTACCATGTGCCCTGTTAGACTTTTTGATCTACTTTATAGGAGATCTCCTTACCTTTACCTTCTAATGCTGCTTTTTCATTTTTGGCTTTTTCATATAGCGTTTTTAATTTTCAAAAGTTCTTTTTTATATGATGTTCTTGTTTATCTGTTTCAAGACAAATTAGCTTATTTAGATTTTTCTCTAAATTTTTCTTCAAAGCTACTTTTTTTTCCTGGTTTTTTCTTCATATTAAGGTTTTTCTTCTGTTTGTGGTGATTGCTGTTTAACTGCTTATGGCTAAAAGTGATTGGAAAATGTGTGGAGTGGCTGGTAGACTCCTGACTATAGGGGTTGCGTTTGTGTCTTGGTGACTATAGGTGGACCTTATCAGTATTTTTAGGTATTTTCTTTTGGGCTGGCCAAATTCACTAGTACTCATTTCAGAAAGATCAGTAGAACATGATCTTTCCATTGCCTTCGTCTAAGGTATAGGCTTGGCTGCTGTCCTCCAGGAGCCTTTGAGTAGGTAGAGGGTTTCAGCAATCAGTGTGTATATTCCTATTTATTCCTTCTGTTGTCAGTATGACACTTGGTCCTCAACTGTGCCTGTTGAGCCTGTAGACCTTTTATTTCACGCCTTCTAGAGATTTATACCTCTACTCTTCTGGGTGCTAGTAATGGGAATGGCAATCTGGGAGTCTATATGCCTTTTTATTTTGTCCGTTTAGATGGGGTCTCGCTCTTGTTGCCCAGGCTGGAGTGCAATGGCATGATCTCTGTTCACTGCAGCCTCCACCGCTGGGGTTCAAATGATTCTCCTAAGTAGCTGGGATTACAGGCACTTGCCACTGTGCCTGGCTAATATTTTTGTGTTATTAGTAGAGATGGGGTTCTACCATGTTGGCCAGGATCACTGGTTCTGACCTCAAGTGATCCGCCTGCCTTGGCCTTCTGAAGTGCTGGGATTACAGGCATGAGCCACTGCTCCTGGCCCTGTCTACTTTTTTGACTCCCATTTTTATCCCCATCTCCTGTGGAGTTTGATACTGCCAATTCCTGAGTCTCGGATATAAATAGATCTTCTCAGCTCTCCACATTTCCACCTGAAGATTCAGATTTTCTTGAGTCTACTAAGTTAGTTATTTGTTCTTTTTGGTAGCATCTGTACTTCCAGATTTTTGTCATCTACTCTCTTGTTTTTTATACTTTGGGTTTATGGTTTTGTCTTGGCTCTTTATTTACTTATTTTAGAAATGGGGTCTCACTCTTTTGACCAGGTTGGAGTACACTGGCACGATTATAGCTCTCTGCAACCTTCGACTCCTGGGCTCAAGCAATCCTTACTCAATCTCCCAAGTAACCTGGACTGGGTACATGCCACAATGCCTGGCTAATTTTTAATTTTTGTAGAGACAGAGTCTTGCTATGTTTTCCAGGCTGGTCACAAACTCTTGGCCTTAAGCGATCCTCCTGCCTCAGCCTCGAGTTGCTAGGAGTATAGGTGTGAGCCACCAAACCGGGTCTTGTTTTGTTTTAGTCTCTATATTCCTTTTTTTTTTCCAGTAGGGTTTGAGTGGGAATACATGTATATGTGTGTGCTTAAATCTACCTTCTTTAACTGTATTTCAGTCTTTTTCTATGTTTATAGTTATCTATGTGCATTGTTTTTTCCCCTAAATAGGATTTTACTTTACTGGTTTAAAGCATTTTGTGCATATTTTATGAATTGTTTTTTGTATTTTAAATGGGCAGACATGGTGGTTCACGCTTGTAATCCCAGCATTTTGAGAGTCCAAGGCGGATGGGTCATGAGGTCAGGAGTTCAAGACCAGCCTGGCCAACATGGTGAAACCTCATTGCTACTAAAAATACAAAAATTAGCCGGGTATAATGGCAAGCGCCTGTAATCCCAGCTACTCAGGAGGCTGAGGCAGGAGAATCGCTTGAACCTGGGAAGCAGAGGTTGCAGTGAGCCGAGATTGTGCCACTGCTCTCCAGCCTGGGTGACAGAGTGAGACTCTGTCACAAAACAAAGACAAAAACAAAAAAAACCTTTTTTTTCACAAGGTAAATGAGCGCATACTAGTCCGTTGGCTGCACATACTATAGTTTACTACAAATTAGAAATACTAAAATTAAGTGCTGTGTGTAATGTGAGTTCTGAAGAAATGATGACTAAAGTAGGACAGGATAAAATTATGGAGTGTGACATTTGATAAGATGATTACATCTTTCCTTTGTCCTTTTAAACATTGAAAAAAGCCTTTTTCTTTCAGGTGCCGTGTAATGTGTTAAGAGCATATTATAAGGAATGGTTTTGTTTAATTTTCATGAGTTATGGTGGCTGAAACATCGAATCTATCTTGTGGGGCAAAAACTGTAAGTAAACCTCGAGGAATATAGTGATTTTCAAATTTTCTATGCTTATATAAGATAATTACTGATTTTTCATAGGAATATACTTGGGATACTTCATTCTGTTAGCCTTAAGTGTACAGACTAGATATTTCAAAAGGAGGAGTTAGATTTTATTTAAATCAGGGTTATTTCTGTGTAGTGTTGGCATTGCCATATTTCATGGATCGTACAAACTTAATTTTTTGTTTTTAATTTTTCAGAAATGGCAGCACAAAAGGAAATCTATATTAATAGAATATTTTATTGAACAAAAGAGGTTAGATAAGAACTGCAAACCAACAGACGCAGCAAACAAGGAAAGAAACGTGTTAGCCATAAGACATGTTTCAAGTGAATCGAAGTCCAATAACTGTAGACTTCAGAAGAAAAAAGTTTTCAAAAATTTTATCAAAACAGGTCACTGATAAATAACTCCTCCAGTAATAGGGCTAGGCCTGAAACCAAAATTAAACAGTTAACAAAACAGATTGGACCTGAATTAAATTTCTTTTCATTAAAAAACTTGTTAAAAATAATCAAATTAGAATTAAATTTTTCTCAAAATTTTATTACCTTGTCCAAAGTAAAGCAAGTATCTTTTAGCATTCATGCCAGCTTTTCTCATGTTCTAGGAAAGACAGAAACCTTACTTGAAGCGAACTAGTATTTTTGTTGAAAATGTGTATCAGCAGCAGTTAAAGTTGATTTTTTCAGATCTGCTCCTCAGTAATAATAATAGCTAATCAGCATTCACCCCTACTAGGACACAAAAATCCTCTTCAAAGCTATTCAAAAAAGAAAGTTGTTACTCAGGAATGATGTCCATTCAGGAGAAATCAAAAGAGAATTCCTCCAAAGTTGCTAAAAAAAGTGAAGATAAGAATTCAGAAACAGAAATTCAGATTTCTCAAAAGAATCTAGCAAAAAAATCAGGTCCAAAGGAAACTGTAAAATCACAGGCCAAATCTTCCCGTGAAAGTAAAATAAATCAGCCAGAATTGGAAACACGCATGAGTACAAGGTCATTAAAGGCAGCATCTACTGATAAAGCTACTAAATCCATTAATAAAAACACGGTGACTGTGAGGGGACATTCACAACAAGAATCTACAAAAAAGAAATTATCTCAGAAAAAATTAGTACATGAAAACTCTAAAGCAAATGAACAGCTCAACCGGCGATCACAAAGGCTACAACAATTAACAGAGGTTTCAAAAAGGTCTTTACGCAGCAGAGAAATTGAGGGTCAGGTTCCAGCAGTTAAGCAGAGTTTGCCACCAACGAAAAAAGAGCAGTGTAGCAGTACTCAGAGTAAATCTAATAAAACAAATCAGAAACATGTGAAGAGAAAACTACTGGAAGTAAAGTCTGACTCTAAAGAAGATGAAAATTTAGTAATTAATGAAGTAAATTACCCCAAAGGGAAAAAACGCAAGGTAGAACTTCAGACAGCTTGTGCTTGTAGTTCTCACTGCATACAAGGATCTGAAAAGTGTCCTCAGAAGACTACTAGAAGAGAGGAAATGAAACCTGTGCCTGTAACTTCTGAGGTAAAAAGATCAAAAATGGCTACTTCAGTGGTCTCGAAAAGAAATGAGACGAAGAAATCGGTTCATACACAAGTAAATACTAACACAACACTCCCAAAAAGTCCACAGCCATCAGTGCCTGAACAAAGTGATAATGAACTGGAGCAAGCAGGAAAGAGCAAACGAGGTAGTATTCTCCAGCTCTGTGAAGAAATTGCTGGTGAAATTGAGTCAGATAATGTAGAGGTAAAAAAGGAATCTTCACAAATGGAAAGTGTAAAGGAAGAAAAACCCACAGAAATAAAATTGGAAGAGACCAATGGTGAAAGACAAATACTTCATCAGAAGGAAACAAATCAGGATGTGCAATGTAATCGTTTTTTCCCAAGTAGAAAAACAAAGCCTGTGAAATGTATGCTGAATGGAATAAACAGCTCAACCAAGAAGAACTCCAACTGGACTAAAATTAAACTCTCAAAATTTAACTCTGTGCAGCACAATAAGTTGGACTCTCAAGTATCCCCTAAATTAGGCTTATTACGAACCAGTTTTTCATCACCAGCTTTAGAAATGCATCATCCAGTGACTCAAAGTACACTTTTAGGGACAAGACTACATGATAGAAATATAATTTATCAGCAGGAAAAAATGAAAGAACTTAATTCTGAAGAAGTGAAAAGTAATGATATTACAGTAGAAATTAATAAAACCACAGAAAGGGCTCCTGAAAATTGTCATTTGGCTAATGAGATAAAACATTCTCCTGACCCACCATTGGATAATCAGATGAAACATTCTTTTGATTCCACATCAAATAAGGTAATCTGTTTTTATTATGCACAATAAAGGTGCCTAAGTGTTTTCTGTAAGAAATGTGTTTATAATATTTTAGCATAAGAATCAAATCATAAAAGACTGAAGAGTCATTTGTTAAGGTTTCCTGTAGTTAAGTAGAGTTTTATTAACTCAGTCTTGTCAGAGAACTTTAGATGTCTCACATTTACTTTGTGTGCTTCTCACTGTTTCCTCATTTTTACTCTTTATTTTATGTAAGCATAAGTCTGTTGAATTCCAGCTTTGCTTTTAAATTTAACACACTGATTTTCCTGTTAATTATAACCATAAAAAGTATGTTTCTTAGGGGCTACTTTTTTTTTGAGATGGAGTTTTGCCTTTGCTGCCTAGACTGGAGTGCAATGGTGATCTCAGCTCACTGCAACCCCTCTGCCTCCCAGGTTCAAGGGATTCTCCTGTCTCAGCCTCCTGAGTAGCTGGAATTACCGGCATGTGCCACCATGCCTGGCTGATTTTGTATTTTTGGTAGAGATGGGGTTTCTCCATGTTGGTCAGGCTGGTCTCTAACTTTTGACCTCAGGTGATCTGCTTGCCTCGGCCTCCCAAAGTGCTGGGATTACAGGTGTGAGCCACTGTGCCTGTCCTTTAGGGACTACTTTTGGCCTAAATATTAAAATTAATTTCAACTGGGACTAATTGGTCTTTTTTCCTACTGGATGTAACTTAAAAGTTAAACATATTTAAGGAGATGACTTGTGTGACCGTTTTGAATAGTTGGCAAATAGAATGTTGAGAGGTATAAATAATTTAGTCTTTAGCTTAAGAATAAAATTCTATCATTTGGCAATAAATCTTCAACTTTCAAGTTAAAAAAAAAAGAAAAAATAAAATTCTAGTGGTCAGGACTCTGAAATGGAAAAGTAAATTGAAAACCAGAATCTTGTATCTAGAAGAAACTTTGATTATCTAAGAAAGTCATTTTAAACTTTATGAAAGCAGCTGAGCCCTTTTTAAAAAAAATTTTTCGATGGCCTCTCACTGTCCCTAGGCTGGAGTGCAGGGGCACGATCTCAGCTCACTGCAGTCTCTGCCTCCCAGGTTCAAACAATTTTCCTGCCACGCCTGGCTAAGTTTTTGTATTTTAGTAGAGACGGGGTTTCACCATGTTAGCCAGGATGGTCCTGATCTCCTGACCTCATTATCTGCCTGCCTGGGCCTCTCAAAGTGCTGGGATTACAGGCATGAGCTATTGTGCCCAGCCACTTTGGGAGGCCGAGGTAGTCGGATCACCTGACGTCAGGAGTTTAAGACCAGCCTGGCCAACATGGTGAAACGCCATCTCTACTAAAAATACCAAAATTAGCTGGGTGAGGTGGCAGGCACCTGTAATCCCAGCTACTCAGGAAGCTGATGCAGGAGAATTGCTTGAACCCAGGAGGTGGAGGTTACAGTCAGCTGAGATCACACCATGGCACTCTAACCTGGGGGACAGAACAAGAGGTGGTCTCAAGAAAAAAAAAAATGATATCTATGGTTTGAAATTCCGGAATATTTCAAACATTTAGAATATGGCAGAGATTAACGTTACTCTCATGTCTGCCAACCAGATTTGACGAAAGTTAACATTAAAACAATTACTGAGGCCGGGCGCAGTGGTTCACACCTGTAATCCCAGCACTTTTGGGAGGCCAAGGCGGGCAGATCACGAGGTCAAGAGATCGAGACCATCCTGGCCAACACGGTGAAACCCCGTCGTTACTAAAAATACAAAAATATTAGCTGGGTGTGGTGGCGCACACCCGTAGTCCCAGCTACTGGGGAGGCTGACGCAGGAGAATTGCTTGAACCAGGGAGGTGGAGGTTGCAGTGAGCCAAGGTCACGCCACTGCACTCCAGCCTGGAGCCTGATGACAGAGTGAGACTCTGTCTCAAAAAAAAAAAAAAAAAAAAAAATTACTGAAGATCCTTTAAAGTTAGAAAAGGTACATTATAGGTGTAGTTGAAGACTGCAACTCTTTATCCCATTTACCCTTCTTCCCACAGTTAAGTGTGCTCCTGAAGTGGGTGTGGATCTTTTGTTTTAATTTTTGTGATTTTATGTATATATAAATTCATAAAGAATACTTTGTGTTTTAATTTTTTACAAAAAATACTAACATATATATTTTTGTAACTTGGCTTAGTGTAATCAACATCATATTTGATACTTACTGATATGTGGGTATTTTAAAAACTGTAAAGGAATATACCACAAGTTTATCTTTTCCTCTATGAAAAGACTTTCAGTTTGGGCCAGGCACGGTGGTTCCTTCCTGTAAGCTGAGCTCTTTGTGATGTTGAGGTGGGAGGATCTCTTGAGCCCAGGAGTTTTAGATCAGTTTGAGCAACATAGTGAGACCGCATCTCTACAAAACAATTTAAAAATTAGCTGGAAGTGGTAATGTGTGCCTGTGATCCTAGCTACTTGGAAGGCCGAGGCAGGAAGATCTCTTGAGTCCAGGAGGTGGAGGCTGCAGTGAGCTGTGATCACGCTACTGCATTCCAGCCTGGGTAACAGAGTGAGACTCTGTCTCAAAAGAAAAAAAAAAGACTTTCACCTTTCAGATTGTTTCCAATTATTTTTCACCAATCTCAACAGTTTGACCCCAGTTGCAGAGCGATCAGGAAATGTGGTAACCGTATCAGTTCAGGACATATTTGAGTGCCTGCTATTTCAAGGTGCTGTACTAGGGCTATAGAAAATGTGTAGGTTTCCTGCCCTTAAGGAATTTTCATTTCCATTTCCCTGAGATGGCCACTGTTGATGGAGTTTGGAGTAATTTTCTTTTGTTATTTACTAATTCAGTATCTGCTTTGGCAAGGTTGTGAATTAGAGGTTATTGGGAATAAAAAGGTAAATATAATATGGTTCTTGCTTTTAAGAGTTGTAGGTAAGTCAGACACAAATAACTAATTGAAAATAAACAATGACAAGCATATGAAAGAGTTAGACAAAGTAGATGAAGAACAGCTAGGGAAGATTGGGAAAGGCTTTATAGAAGAGAGGCAATGACTTGAATTTATACAGAGGAAAGGTGTTCTAGATCAGCACTATCCAGTAGGAATATAAGTGAGCCACATGCATGATTTAAAATTAGCGTAGCCACATTAATGGAGTAAAGAGAAATAGGTAAAATTAATTTTAGTATCTTTTACTTAACCTATTATAAAAATACTATCATTTCAACATGCAATCGGTTTTGACAATTATTAATGACATATTTTATTCTTTTCTGTATGAGTGCATAAGTTTTGTTTTCTTTTTCTTTTCTTTTTTTTTGAGACAGTCTCTCACTGTTGCCAGGGCTAGAGTGCAGTAGCGTGATCTCAGCTCACTGCAACCTCTGCCTCCTGGGTTCAAGCAATTCTCCTGCCTCAGCCTCCTGAGTAGCTGGAATTACAGGTGCCTACCACCATGCCCAGCTAATTTTGGAAGGCCTGTTTTTAGGAGAGTCAGGGTTTCACCTTGTTGGCCAGGCTGGTCTTGACGTCCTGACTGTGATTCATCCACCTTGGCCTCTCAAAGTGCTGGGATTATAGGCGTGAGTCAGTTGGAATGCAGCGGTGCTATTCCGGCTCACTGTAACCTCCGCCTCCCAGGTCCAAGTGATTCTCCTGCCTCAGCCTGAGTAGCTAAGATCATAGGCGCCTGCCACCATGGCTGGCTAATTTTTGTATTTTTAGTAGAGAAGAGGTTTTACCATGTTGGTCAGGCTGTCTCGAACTCCTGATCTCAAGTGATCCACCCGCCTTGGCCTTACAAAGTGCTGGGATTACAGATGGAGCCACTGCACCTGGCCAGATGATTAGGTTTGCAAAATCTGATGTGATTTGTGCTTTCGACACATCTCAAATGATACCACGTTTTAAGTGCTCACTAGTTAGATGTGGCAGTGATGACCATATTGGACATCATAGTCTAGACAGACAAAACTCAGAAAAAGGGTATAGAGCCAGGAAATTATTGAATATATCTGTGAGAGAGGTATTTCCTTTTTTTGAGATGGAGTCTCACTGTGTTCAGGCTGGCTTCAAACCCCTGGGTTTAAGGGATCCTCCGGCCCTTTAGTGACCCTTCTCAGTAGCCGGGACAACAGGCATGCACTGCTGTACCCTGCTTGTTTTTAAATTTGGCCTGAAGCCTAATAATGGGCCCTGATGCTGAGAGGGTAGCTTGTGGCAAGATCATGGGGAGACTTCATGTCTGTACGAACTACTACAAATAATATCTTAAATTTTTTTGGTATGCTCAAATTTACTGTAAGTGTATTTAGATAAAACCCAAAGTTGTTATAAAATTTTTGAATTATATGTGTTCAGAATTTCAGCCAGTGTTTGGAATCCAAGCTAGAAAACAATTCAGTGGAAAATGTTACTGCTGTTTCAACTCTGCTCAGTCAAGCAAAAATTGAAACAAGAGAGAATAAATTTCCAGGTAATACTTTGGAAATGTTATTTGAATTTCATAGTCTTCAGTGATATTTTTGTCAGTATTACAGATAATGTTGTCATATACCAAATAGGCTTGTTACATTCTTTTTAACCATTGCTGTATTTTTCAAATGTGATTATCATGATGATCATTCTTTCAGAATTACTTCTATTAATTGGTTTGTTTAAAGTGCTACCCTTTGACTCCCTACTAGAAGTTCTTTTGTTTTTTTAAACTTTTCTTTTGTGACTTACTCTCCAGAAGTGTTCCTTAATGAAGTGTATAAAATAGTGGTAGCAGCTTGTTTCTTAAGTACTTTATTATTTGTGCTTTACCATTTCAGGTTCTTATCTTTAACCCTTTGCTTCCTTATCTACTCAGTTTGCCATCTCAATGATCCTATCTCTAAATTAAGGATTTAATACATGCTGCAAATTGTCCATTTATATAAGAGCTTTAGTTTTGGAATCTTGTGAACTTTTTTTTATAATGTATTATTTGGGCCAGGCAAGGTGGCTCACGCCTGTAATCCCAGCACTTTGGGAGGCCTAGGGGGACGGATCACTTAAGGCCTGGAGTTCGAGACCAGCCTGACCAAAATGGTGAGATTCCCCATTTCTACTTACTTAAAAATACAAAAAAATAAGTAGCCAGGCATGGTGGTGCATGCCTGTAATCTCAGTTACTTGAGAAGCTGAGTCAGGAGAATCGCTTGAACCTGGGAGGTGGAGGTTGCAGTGAGCCGCGATTGCGCCACTGCATTCAAGCCTGGGTGACAGCGAGATTCTGTCTCAAAAAACCTAAAGAAAAAAAAATTATTTGAAGCGTTGGATGAGGATTTCTCACTTATATTGGATGAGACACCAGAGGATATAGAAAAGAAATCTCTAATTCCTCTTGTTTTTCGGCTGAAGGTAAGGTATACGTGGAGCAAAATATTGAGTTCAGATAATTGCTGCCATTGCCTGTCATTTAACTATTTCTGTTAGTGAGGGAAGAGTGTGGTATAAATATTTATTCATTAGAAAATAGGATGGGTTGGTTATTGCTTTTTTTATCATTCTAATTAAAATTCCAGAGACCATCTTTTTTTAAAAAAATAAAAAACAATGTTTTCATTTATTTCTACTTAGAGATTCTATAATTATGTAGGCATTGAAACAGTTTTCTTAATATTTGGTCCTAATAATTGTTGGTTAGAGGTAAACTAATCTACCATTAGATCTCTTTGCAGCTTTGTAATCTGAGTATCGGACAGCCTTCCTGCCTTTTCTCTGAACAGTATCTAGGAAGGAGGGTCCTAATTGTATCAGATCGTCTTTATTAAAAATAAATCATTTAATGGATTGAGTTTTTTTTCTTTATGTATAATGATTTTACCCATTAGATAGAAACCTAATATGAAACTTAATACATAACCCACCTTCTTGATTAAATTACAGGTTCAGCTCCCCAACAGCACAGTATTCTCAATAACCAGACATCTAAAAGCAGTGCTAGCAGGTAAGGTGTTAATTAAATTTTAGAGCTTAAGGATTTTTGCTTACAAGTTTTGAGTTCAGGGTATTCTTCCTTAAAAAGTTATGCTAGTAACCCTCAGTTTACCTACAGATTCTCTTTTCATTACAAGTTTTTCTATGCCTATACATACTGTTTACTATTGACATCTTTCCTACCTTACTACCTCATTCTTTTTTTTTTTTTTTTTTTTTTAAGAGTTGGGGTCTTTCTCAGTTACCCAGGCTGGAGTGCAGTGGTACAGTCACTGCACCCTTGAACTCCTGGGTTCAAGTGATTCTTCTGCCTCAGCCTCCTATGTAGCTAGGACTATAGGTGTGTGGCACTATACCTGGATAATTTTAAAAAATTCTTTTTAAGAGACAAGGTCTTGCTATGCTGTGAATGCTGACCTTGAACTACTGGCCTCAAGTGATTCTCCCACCTTCGCCTCTCAAATCTCTGGGATTACAGGGGTGAGCCACAGTATCTGGCAGCTGCCTTATTATTTTAAATTCTGCGTTAGATTTCATTGTGTGACTTTTCCGTGGTTTAACAGCTCTATACTTTATGCACATTTTGGATATTTCTAGTCTATTTCTATCCAGAAAAGAAAAAAAAAATTCCTATGATAAACACATATCTTTGCTCGCTTGGGTGTCTGTATCTCATAGCTGTATAACTTATCCTGCATTGCCAAACTTTCCTCCAAAGTGTTTGGGCCTGTCTCAACAGTATTTGAGAATGCCCTTTTCCCTAGACTTCTAGAAATACTGGGTATTAGCAACATGTAAGAATGTTTTAAGTAAGATTAAAAGATTTTTGTTTGGCTGGGTGCAGTGGCTCACGCCTGTAATCCCAGCACTTTGGGAGGCTGTGGTGGATGAATCACTTGAGGTCAAGAGTTCGAGACCAACCTGGCCAACATGGTGAAACCCCATCTTTACTAAAAATAGAAAAATTATCTGGGTGTGATGGCACATTGCCTGTAGTCCCAGAGGCTGAGGCATGAGAATTTTATTTTAACTTGGGAGGCGGAGGTTGCAGTGAGCTGATTGCAACACTGCACTCCAACTGGGTGACAGAGGGAGACTCTGTCTCAAAAAAAAAAAAAGCTTTCTGTTTTCTTTTTAATGTCAGAATTAAATAGATCTGACTTATTTTGCCTTTCAGATGAACAACAAACAGTATTTAGTACAAACTAGAATGACTTAGATAGCTAAAACTATAAAACTTAAAAGCATATTCAGATATAATGTTGCAGTTTTTGTTTTTGTTTTTTTACTGGAAATTAGTAAAAGGTTTTTCTCCCTCTCTTGAAGTAGAAATTTATCAGTGTTGTGTAGAAAATAAGTTATTTTTCCCCTCCAGTGATTTCAAATGATTTGGATCTATAACATTTAATAATTTTATTTTTTTTTTTAAGGGAGACACCACGAAATAATTCTTTGCCTAAGTATAATTCCCATTTGGAGATAACAATTCCAAAGGACTTGAAATTAAAAGAAGCAGAGAAAACTGATGAAAAACAGTTGATTATAGTAAGTATATGACTTGACCATTTTGGTTAATTGTTGTTAGAAGCATCTTAGTATATTTTGTGTTGCTGTAATACGATACCTGAGGTTGGTAATTTTTATAGAAAAGAAGTTTATTTGGCTTATGGTTCTGTGGGCTGGCATCTGCATCTGATAAGGGTCTCAGATTGCTTCACCTTACATATGAAAGCAGAAAGAGAGTGAGCTCCTGTGCAGAGAGACCATGTGGTAAGGGAGGAAGCAAGAGAGAGAAACCAAAAAGCCAGACTCTCTTAATGCTGCTCACCCCAACAGGAGAGCATTGAGGGCATTAACCTGTTTGTGAGGGATTCACCTCCATGACCCAGACACATCTCACTAAGTCCTACCTCCAAACATTGTCACATTGGAGATCAGATTTCCATGTAAGTTTTGGTGGAGACAGATCGTACCAAAATCATAGCCGCATTGTATTTATACAAGGTATTAAAGAACAAATTCATTATTGCCAAAGAGCCTTTTTGTCATAATAAATTTTATTGTGGAAAATATTTCTGGTATTATTACAACCCCTTTCTCAAATAGTGAGTCTGTCTTGTAATAATAATTGTTGTTATACTTCTAGTTTTATAACAAATTATGATACTTTATTTCACATCCGTTACTTCCTTAGATTTGTCATTTGATCACTACCTTCTTTCAGTAGTTAATTTAAATGTTGAGATAACATGGAACTTAATGCGTAAAATGATTTTACATATATTATTGTAGTATACATTATTATTTTAAAATTACATTTTAAGTTACAGGAAGATAAATTGGAAAAGAGGAGGTATTTTGATTGATTAAAAATCTAACTTGAATGAGTAAATATAAAAAAATTAAGGTACCCAGAGTACTAGGAATGTTTAATGTAGTTCCAGTTAACGTAATCAGTAAGTTTTCTTTTTTTTTTTTTTTTTTAAAGGTAGGGTCTCACACTCTGTTACCCACGCTGGAGTGCAATGGCACTCCAGCAGGAACTGCAGTTGACTGCAGCCTCAACCTCCCAGTTCAAGTGATCCTCTCACCTCAGCCTGCTAAATAGCTGGTACTAAAAGACATGTGTCACCACACACAACTAATTGTTATATTTTTTTTTCTTTTTTGAGATGGAGTCTCACTCTGTCCCCCAGGCTGGAGGCAGTGGCCCAGTCTTGGCTCACTGTAGCCTCTGCCTCCTGGTCTCAATCCCTTCTGTCTCAGCCTCCCAAGTAGCTGGGACTACAGGCGCATGCCGCCATACCTGGACCTGGCTAATTTTTGTATTTTAGTAGAGATGGGGTTTCACCATGTTGGTCAGGCTGGTCTCAAACACCTGACCTCAGGTGATCCACCCACCTTTGCCTCCCAAAGTGCTGGGATTACAGGTGTGAGCCACTGCGCCAGGCCATAAAATTTTTTTGTAGGGATGGGATTTCTTGCCTAGGCTTTCCTCCCACCTTGAAATACCTTAATATCTACAAACTAGGAAAAAACTGAAGAGTACAGACTTTTTTGTTTGCTTGTTTATTTTGTGTTTTTGAGATGAAGTCTTGCTCTGTCACCCAGGCTGGAGGGCAGCGGTGCGATATTGGCTCACTGTAGGCTCTGCTTTTTGGATTCAAGCAATTCTCCTGCCTCAGCCACTGAGTAGCTGGGTTTACAGGAGCCCACCAGCATGCCTGGCTATTTTTTATATTTTTAGCAGAAATGGGGGTTTCACTATGTTGGTCAGGCTGGTCTCGAACTCCTGACCTTGTGATCTGCCTGTCCCAGCCTCCCAAAGTGCTGGGATTACAGGCTTGAGCTACTGCGCCCAGCCCCCCAGACTTTTAAGACATTAAAAAATGGAGTGGGCTAGGTGTGGTGGCTCACACCTCTAATCCCAGCACTTTGGGAGGCTGAGGCAGGTGGATCACCTGATGTGAGGAGTTCAAGACCAGCCTGGCCAACGTGGCAAAACCTCGTCTCTATTAAAAAATATAAAAATTAGCCAGATGTGGTGGCGGGTGCCTTTAATCCCATCTACTTGGGAGGCTGAGGCAGGAGAAGTGCTTGAACCCAGGAAGTAGAGGTTGTAGTGAGCAGAGATCGTGCCACTGCACTCCAGCCTGGGTAACAGAGTGAGACTCTGTATGGCACTATGGCTCACACCTGTATTCCCAGCACTTTGGGAGGCTGAGGCAGGTGGATCGCTTGAGCTCAGGAGTTCTAGACTAGACTGGGCAACATGATAAAACTCTCTCTCTACAAAAAATATAAAAACTAGCCAGGTGGCTGGGTGTGGTGGGTCACGCCTGTAATCTTAGCATTTTGGGAGGCCAGGACGGGCAGATCACCTGAGGTCAGGAGTTCAAGACCAGTCTGGCCAACATGGTGAAACCGCATCTGTACTAAAAATACAGAAACTTAGCCAGGTGCAGTGGCATGCTTCTGTAATCTCAGCTATTAGGGAGGCTGAGGCAGGAGAATGGCTTGAACCTGGAAGGCGGAGGCTGCGATGAGCAGAGATTGTACCACTGCACTCCAGCCTGTGTGACAGAGCAGGACCTCATTTCAAGACGAAAACAAACAAAAATTAGTCAGACATGGTGACGCATGCCTGTAGTCCCAGCCTGGGTGACACACAATGAGACCCTCTATTAAAAAAAAAAAAATACAGTCTATAAAACATTTAATTCTCTAGCAGTATAATTATTGCAAATATGCAATATATGTTCTCATTCATAGAGTAGTTCCTATTTAGAGTTTTAGGACAAAGTTTGTAATGTTAAAGCCATTTCTCACTTTTTAAAAAATTGTTATATGCTGTGGATCAGGTTACTAAAATGGAAACATTTCTTAATAAAATTATATACCGATTTCAGAGATTAACATGTTATTCTTAGTAAATAGGACTGAATGTTATTCATTGTAGATTAAACAATCTCACTTTCGGCTCAAGTTACAGCCTTAGAGGCTGATATTCTGTAATAGCTCTTTTGGGAGGAAAATAACTTTTGTGTTTTTTGTAAATAGGATGCAGGACAAAAAAGATTTGGAGCAGTTTCTTGTAATGTTTGTGGAATGCTGTATACAGCTTCAAATCCAGAAGATGAAACACAGCATCTGCTTTTCCACAACCAGTTTATAAGTGCTGTAAAATATGTGGTAAGTGGAATTTGTGAATTCTAAAATGCAAAAGTCAGATAAGGTCAGTCTCTAAATGAGATGAACTGCCAAATTTAAATCACTGAAAAATTTATGTTTTTAAGAGATAATAATATGTACAAAGCACATGTAGTATGTATACTGGCTTATTAAAAACAAAGCCAAACAAAAACACCTAATTTATTCTGACTGGTTTATGTTGTAGAATTTTTAATTTAAATTTTACTATTCTAAAGTAGTGATTATACTTGACAGAAGTAATGCTATTTAACTTGTATGTTTTTTTAAAAAAATTTCCTTTGATAAGATAATAATTACTATTGATAAATCTATTTAATATTTATATTTATTGGCACAATTTTATATTTGGGGATTGATTGTGATAGATACTACACCAACAGGTTGGGAATTTCCATTACCTTCTCTTTGTTATCGTGAGGGTTTTTATAAGACTAAAAAAGAAAAATTCTAGAAAATTAAGACCTCAGAATTTGTAGTATACTTTAAAAAAAGAAGAAATTCTCACAGAGTAAATCTGTTTTAGTACAAAATTTATTTTTTAATGTAAGTGCATTTTAGGCATAATGGATATTATTTAATATTTGTGGAAATAGCAAAAATTTTTCGCAATTTTGAACCATTTCAGATATCTTGTGAAAATAGTAATTTAATTGAATTGCTGTTTACCCATATCTGAAATGGAATCTCTTTTTAATTGTATACATGTTACCTTCAGTACTGTACACTCACATTAATAAGACCTCCAGGATATCTGAACTGAGATCACCAATTCATTTCATATAAGCCTTTATATAGGTACCAGATACTGGATTATTTAAAGGTCTTTATTGGCTTCCATTAAATTCATATGCTTGTATTAATATTTACCTTTGGTTGAGGGATTTGTATTCATTTTTTCATTCATCCAGCTACTTCTACCCAGGATAGGGTGAGTTTTTACTTGTTTGGTTTTCTACCTGTGGTCATCCTTTACATTTCTTACTTCATCTCACTTTTCCACACACTCCCTCCTACCACTTCACCAAATATAGGGTGAGTCGACATAGAATTATCTATAGCTAGGTATTGTTTTATCATTTGAAATTTTTACTTTTTCAATTTGACCATGTTACTATCCTTGCATTCTCAAAAGAAAAATAGTCCTATCAGGTTGCTAAATTGTAGAATACTTCTAGGACAAAAATAGTTCAGTATATTTTATATACAAACCTGGTAGAGAAAGTTGCTTCAAGTAAACTCTACTCAGTAGTGTACATTATTTAATTCTGGTGATCATTTAGTTTTCCTAAAATTATAAAAAGATTAGGTTTCAAAATCTTAATTCTTCACTTTAAGGAAAATTCTTAATTTCTGAGAGGAACAGTAAATGAATCAATCAGTCAGGAAATAGGTGCTCTGCTTTTCCAGGGTGCCAAGGAAAGTTGATTTATGGAACAAGGTGAAGTCATCGTCTTCCAGACAAATTCTGGCTCTCTTGCAAAGCTGCAAAGCAATGTAGCAAACTAGGGAAGATTGTTTCCTGCCCCAGCCAACCCCTCCTCCAACACCCCTTGATGGGACAGAGCCATGGGTTTTTTTTGTTTTGTTTTGTTTTTTCATTTTTGAAAGAAGCTCAAGAGAAGGAATTGAGTTTAGCAGTTGGCCATCCTTTGGTGTTATCAAGGTCAATATTCTTATCTTTTGCTGTTTTCAAATGTAGGTATACATAGAGTCTAAGGAAGAGACTCTTCCAAACATTGTGGTATTTATTCTATAGTGTATAGAGAGAAGAAGAAAATGTACCTGTCTTAAAGTTGTTCTGCTGTGATCACAGTTCTAGATTTTGGTTTATGACATTAAAACATTCATTTGGCTTTCATTTTATATCTTTCTTTTTTTTTTTTTTTTTGAGATGGAGTCTTGTTCTGTTGCCCAGGATGGAGTGCAATGGTGCAATCTCGTCTCACTGCAACCTCTGCCTCCCAAATTCAAGCGATTCTCCTGCCTCAGCCTCCTGAGTAGCTGGGATTACAGGTGCCCGCCACCACGCCCGGCTAATTTTTGTTAGAGATGGGGTTTCCTCATGTTGGCCAGGCTGGTTTCGATCTCTTGACCTTGTGATCCACCCGCCTCGGCCTCCCAAAGTGCGGAGATTGCAGGGGTGAGCCACCTCACCCAGCCCCATTTTATATCTTTCATAGACATTAAGTACTCGTAAATGCTTGACAAAATATCTAATTTTATGTAATGCCAATTTTATCTGTCTCTTGGTGAGAAGTATATAGAAGAAGTTATTTGGTGCTCTAGCATTAATTCATGTTAAATGGACAATATCAGGAACTGGAAATAAAGTTTTGTTCTACTTAAGACTAAAAATAGAATAAATTAGAAAAAAATTGTTTTACTTAAAAAAAAATTTTTTTTTTTTTTGAGATGGAGTCTCACTCTATCACCCAGGCTGGAGTGCGGTGGCGTGATCTCAGCTCATGGGTTCAAGAAGTTCTCCTGTGTTAGCCTCCTGAATGGGGCTACAAATGCACGCCACCACACCCAGCTAATTTTTGTATTTTTAGTAGCAATGGCATTTCACCATATTGGTCAGGCTGGTCTCAAACTCCTGATTTCAGGTGATCCACCTACCTCAGCCTCTCAGAATGTTGGGATTACAGGCATGAATCACTGAACTTGGCCAAAATTTTAAATCAAACATTCTGTAGAAAATAAGATAAATACATTTTACTTTGGGTAAAATTTTTTTCCAGGCAGATTAATAATCCAGTAACAATTGGAAATGGCTAAAAGTCCTACTTTCAAAAGGTTAAAATAATATTTAAACTATATAATCATAGTAAAAATTGATAACCATAGGGCCTATTTTTGTTTGAGTAAAATACTTGCTTTTTCTTTTCCTTATGTCTTATGTTCTCTTTGGTCTGTGGAAGGGAAGAGTAGGTAGATAATTTTTTCTTACTATATTTCATTTTACCCCATCTGGTTGGCTGATGTCATTTCAGGAAATGAATTTTATCTGACTTAGTAGAAGCTAGGAAGCAGCGGAGGCAACATGTGAAACCTCATCTGTGCAAAAAAAGGTTAGCTAGGCATGGTGACTTGCACCTATAATCCCAGCTTCTTGTGGGGCTGAGGTGGGAGGATTGCTTGAGCCCAGGAGGTTGAGGCTGCAGTGAGTCAAGATTGCACCACTGCAATACAGCCTGGGTAACAGAACAGGACCCTGTCTCAAACAAAACAAAACAAAACAAAAACAAAAACTCAAAATTACTCCAGTTTCCTTCCAGAACTAAGGTACTGTTCCCTGAAGGTGTGAAGGGGAAAGTAGGAGTTTTCTCCCCTGGTGTATTGAGCCATGTTGCCAGGCCAGGAAACTGGCAGAAACCTATCAGGAACCTCAGCTGTATTTTGAGCTTTTAGTAATGCTGAAGAACAATGTGTGGGTTCTTGGCAGAGAAAAACTTAATCTCTTTTTTCTGTATTGTTCTTAACTCCTTTGAATTAATTCACATCTGAGTGAGTGCTGTGTGGAGAACATTGTTCTCAGGGCTATGTAATATGCCCTTTCCTTCAAATTTAGGAACAAAGTCTGAAATAAATGAAAAGTTAACAGTAAAAGATTTAAGTAACCATTAAAGCAATGAATCAATATGAAATATTTAACTAAATAAATCATAAATTAGCTTTGCAACTTAGAAGTGATCAGAATGATTTGTTTTCATAGATGGGTAGGAGTTAAGATTTGATTTTTAAAATGAACATAGAAAGTCATCTGTGATTGCTAATAGTACAACTAAAGCAAGAGAAAGCTTAACATTTTGAGGAATAATGAGTAGATCTTTTTTACTGACTCAGGATTTTTGTGGATAACGAGACTAGAAAAATACTACGCCATCAAGTCAAATTGTGATACTTTGATTTTGAATGCTATATGGACTTTATTCTTTCTGTTCTTTTAAGTTTTGAAGACTCTTGAATGTTGTGAATGATACAAATTTAAATAACATTAAAACAGTATTTTGATGAAGTGTAGGGAGAGAAATAATAATTTAATGGCATTATGGAAAGTAGCACACGTATTAGATGTGTATAGTGCTGAATTACTATGACATTGGTAGAAATAGGAAAGAACATTGATGATGGGAAACTTTGAAGAAAGAATTGACAGATCTCTGATTGGCTACAGAGCTGTGCTATCCTGTGAAGTAGCTGCTAGGCTACATGAAATTTAAAATGCTGTTCTTCATTCATACTGTCCAGTGCTTAAAAGCCACACGTTGCTAGAGGCTACTGTATTAGGTATGTAGATATAGAATGTTTGTATCATCACACGCACAGTTCTCTTGGATAGTGCTGTTACAGAAAACTGAGGAAAGAAGTTACATGTGATTAAATTTTTGATTTGGGGAAACCATGATCCAGTAACTCTTACTTAACCTTTAATTGTTTTTCGTGTGAAATTTGACTGCATATAATTTAATTCTGCATACTTTTTCTTTATTCCTTTTCAAGATGATTAGAAAAAAGAGGAAACTGGGCATTAGAAAAAAAGAAGTGAATAGTAGAGCAGGAGTAGAGTCTTTTTCTGGATTTTTAAATTTTATTTTTATTTTGAGTCTGGATCTTAGTCTGTTGTTCAGGCCAGAGTGTAGTGGCACAATTATAGCTCACTGCGGCCTCAAACTCTTGGGCTCCAGCAATCAATCCTCCCATCTCAGCCTCCTGAGTATCTGAGACTACAGGTGTGTGCCACCATGCGTGGCTAATTTTTTTTTTTTTTTTTTTTTTTTTGTAGAGACAGAGTTTCACCATGTTGCCCAGACTGGTCTTGAACTCCTGAGCTCAATCTGTCTGCCTGCCTTGAGTTCCCAAAGTGCTGGGATTATAGGCGTGAGCCACTGTGCTCAGCCTATTTTATTTTTTTTTGAGACAGGGTTTTTCTGTGTTGCCCAGGCTAGAATGCAGTGGTGTGATCATAGCTGATTGTA